GTCACAAATGTTGGAACCATTTCTCATTTTCCTTCCACTTCACAATTATGTGCCACTTTGTGTTGGTCTATCACATCCAATCCCAATAAATACATTGTAACATGACAACATGGGGGACATTTCAGGGGGGGAATATATTGTAACATGACAACATGGGGGACATTTCAGGGGGGGGAATACATTGTAACATGACAACATGGGGGACATTTCAGTCGTGAGGAACTTTTTCAAGCTACTGTATATATCACTGATATCTGTACACTGAGTGCTATTCCTTACATATAACACTGATATCTGTACACTGAGTGCTATTCCCTATACTGTATATAACACTGATATCTGTATACTGGGTGCCACTCAGTGTACATATATCACTGTTTTATATAGGGAATATAGAATAGAAGACTACTATTAGCCCCTTGCCTACAGGGCACTTATACCCCCGTCCTGCCCAGGCCAATTTTCAGCTTTCAGCGCTGTCACACTTTGAATGACAATTGCGCGGTCATGCAACACTGTCCTCATATGAAATTTTTATCATTTTTTTGAGACAGATAGAGCTTTTTTTGGTGGTATTTAATCCCCTCAGGGTTTTTTTTTTTTTGCTAAACTAACCAAAAAACAACAGAAAATTTTGAAAAAAAAAAGTTTTTTTCTTAGTTTCTGTTATAAAATTTTGTAAATGAGTAATTTTTCTCCTGCACTGATGTGCGCTAATGATGTTGCAGTGATGGACACTGATAAGGCGGCACTGATGGGCATTGATAGGCAGCACTGATGGGCACTGATGAGGACGCACTGGTAGGTGGTACTGATGGGCATTGACAGATATCACTGATGGGCACTGAAAGGCAGTACTCATATATGGCACTGATAGGCAGCACTGACTGGCACCGTTAGGTGGCACTGATGGGCACTGATAGGCGGCACTGATTGGCAGCACTCATAGGCGGCACTGACTAGCACTGATAGGCAGCTCAGATGGGCACTGATATGTGGTATGTATGTGCACTGGTAGGCACTGGTATGTGGCATTGATTGTCACTGATATGTGGCATTGATTAGCAATGATATGTGGCATTGATGTGCATTGATTGGCACTGACAGGTGGCATTGACGGACACTGACAGGTGACATTAATAGACACTGACAGGTGGCACTGATGGGGCTACACTGATCATCAGGGCACTGATGACCAGTGTAGATGTCCCCTCTGAGTAATGCCGATTACAGGCTCTCCTCTCCTCACCAGCTGTCAGCGTGACAGCTGGTGAGGAGAGGAATGCCGATAACTGGCATTTCCTTATTTACATGCGATCAGCTGTGATTAGACACAGCTGATCACATGACCGAGCCAACGTCTTCGGCTCTTTCCTCTGATCATGGATCCGCTGTGTCCCAGGTACACAGTGCACCACCGATCGTTGGAGTGAGAGGACGTCATATGATGTCCTCCCAGAACAAGAGAACCTGTCATTTCCTTATATGGCGGGCGGGTGGTGGTTAAGCTGCAGTGCTGTCAGTGTCACAGGGGGTCGGGGGATTACACACTGACTTGCTGCAGGATACAGGGCAGGTCAGCACAACGATGACTCCTCTCTCTTCTCTGGCCACCCGTCCTGTGGCACGGATGTGGGACCCGACGATCTGAGAAAACTCCGAGGAGAGGTGTCCGAAGTGCCTGCCGCGGCGCTGCCGTTGCAACACTTCCTTTTTTCCTCCTTTCAGCAGCGGCATATCCAGAGGACGGACTGAGCCTCTCATGGGGCCCTCTAGTGACCCCGGGCCCTCGGGCAGTGCCCGAGTGCCTGAATGGTCAGTCCCCTGTTTTTGGATTGTTGTGCATCAGATAGTGATACATGGTAAAGTTGTACTTTTCAATGATGAAAGCAAGCACAACCATGACATATCTGTCTCTGATTCCCAGGTAGAGCGAATACATAAAAGAAATTACTCAATTACCCGCTTCAGCCCCAAGCCATCTCTAACACTTTTTGTTTACATATTAAAATTTCTATTTTTTGCTAGAAAACGTCTTAGAACCCCCAAACATTATTTATTTATTTTTTTTTAAGCAGAGGCCCTAGAGAATAAATTGGTGGATTTTGCATTTTTTCCTGTCACACGATATTTGCACAGCGGTTTTTCAAATGCAATTTTTGGGAAAAAATACACTTTTCTGAATTTGATTGCAAAGAAACACAATACATAACCCAATTTGTTTGTGAAATATAAAATATGATGCTATGCCGAGTAAATAGATACCAAACATGTCACGCTTTATAAATGTACACTCCTGCGCAATGTCATACATTTTACTATTCATAGATGACGCTTTAAAAGTCTTTACAGGTTACCACTTTAGATTTACAGACGAGTTCTAGTGCTAGAATTACTGCCCATGATCTGACGAACATGGAGATACCTCACATGTGTGGAACGTGTGGAATGATTGCTGTTTGTTTGTGTGCATGTGGTCGCCTTTGCACTTAAGCATGGGGTGGGGGGCACTTTAATTTTTTTTTAATTATTCATTTTTTGTATCTTTACAGTGTCACTTTAAATTTTTTTTGACTGCAATAGACACGTGACAAATATTTTTTATGGAGGGATCTGGGCTCTATAAGCCCCAAATCCCTCCTCTGCACTTGAAAACATTCAAAACACCAAGATCAGTGTTTTTGAATGCTTTCAGATTGTTAAAAATGCCGCCAAAAGTTCCCAAGTAAACCGGAAGTGATGTCCGGTCATTTCTTCCGGTTTACAATAAAGGAGAGCCGATCAAGGCCAATTCCTGTGGGAATCCAATGGGACATGAGTTCCCAAGAGAGCGGGGGCGAGTCACTTCCCTTTGCTTGTACAAGCAATTGAGCAGCTAGTTAGCCACTCCGATTGCTTGTACAAGAGAGCCAACTGCCGGCTTGAAGAAATAATACTGGGGTGATGCCTGCAGCTGCGGTATAACCACGAAAGTCCAGCAACATATGGGTACATTGCTGGTCCAGAAATGGTTACTCTGGTTGGCAGGTTTGGGAAATTAGCTCCTTTGGAAATGAATAGCCCTTTCATTTTCAGAAGCTTAGACAAAATTCTTCAAGTGCTATTTTTGGATCTAAACAGATGTAACCTCTAAACCTTACATGGAAAAACTAATCAGCACAAAAATAGGCATGGTTTTTATATTGTGAGCCTTTTTAATATGCCAAGAGCAGAGCTCTCATTGCAGCTCATTACAATCAGAAATTGTTGTTTTCATTATTCTGAATTTTCCAAATCTGTATGTCCCAGGCCTGCAATTTTAGAAATATAGCTGGAAAGATTTAACTCCAGCAATCCTGACCAGACATACAAAAAAGTACTTCCATACTCTGCTTGCTTTAATCCTATTATAACCAATGTTCAATAATGCCTATATATCCAGGCCAAGTTTAGCAGTGACAGAATGCATTGGTTACCTTGATAAATTACTGTTTCTATTTTGCATACCTAATTAGATTTTATATATTTTGAAAGACATATATAGGGTTATTATTTGGTAAACTGTTTTGTAAAAGTCCTGTTTTGTTTTAAATATATGCTGACAAACGTACAAAAATTTAAGAAAAAAAAAACTGTTAATAAACCCACAACAGTAAAATCAGTCTGTATATGCACTAAAGCATACTTGTTATAGTCACTGTGGAACTTAAGGGGTTAATCTCCTTCATTGTGTAAAAACACTGTTTGATCCTGACTTCTGTGATCCTCCCTTTCTTCCAGTGTCCCCCTCTTATCTTATCTTCGGATAAGACACATCGTGTGGAGTCACTCTGCACATGCTCAGTTAGGTTGTGTATTGCTAGAGAGTTTTTTTTTTCCTTGGGTGAGTGCATGTGATCAGCACAGGGCTAACCAGCACTGTCCAGACAGAGTTCAGGGGTTCTGCATCCTCCTAGAGCAAAATGAGAACTCCTCCTATAAGCTTTAACCAGTGCTCGGCTGGACACTGATAGAAGTCACAAGACTCCTCTAACTGCTGATGAGAAAAGGTATTTAGCAGTTTATATTTACTAAAATAATTGCACTTCCATGTTGTGTGTGCTGTGGGAGACCAGATATAGTGAATGCAGGGTCCTGGGTTTAGTAACACTTTAACACTTTTTTCTATTTTGTAATACTGGTCAACTACAGTATAATACTGATGGCACTGCAGATGCCACTGTGTACTGAAAGCTAAACATTGTATTACTTTAATATATTCAAAAAGCATTAATGCAATAAATGCCCCAGTTCTTTTGTACCCTGTTGGACCCCCCTCCCATCCCCAAACACCTACTTGTTGTCCCATCTCGACCACTGGGTTCTCCACAATCAGCACCTCTCCCCAAACTTTCTGGATGCAGAGGAAGGTTAGGATAGGCAAGTGATTGGATCCTGCATCTGTCTGTCTGGAAGCAGAAAGCAAGACATGGCTTGCCAGGTGTTGTATGTGGCAATGGACACAAACAGCCCTAGCTGGGTGCACGTGCACAAGTGTATCCTTAGCATCTGTCTTGGCAAAGGAAACACCTGCAAACATGACTATGCATTATGTGTAAGTCTATCTTCCCTGAATCACAATTCTAAAACAATGGGTTTAAGGCTTCCACTTTTGTCAATGATAGCTGACATACTGTATGTTGCTTTACAGACTGTGACTAGGGGTAAATGTACATTGTTATCCATGCAGTGACATCTAAATGCTTGTACCCCAAAATGTAACAATGTAACAATTGTCATATGTGTATTTCCATATTTGCAGAGGAGTCCTTTAGCCAAGTGAATACAGGTGAATAAAACCATTCAAGGTTTGGCATGAGTTGTTCTATTAGCAGAGTGCAAATGCTAAAACGGGTACTTTGCTAGAGCCCACAAATATTATTTATTTAGATGTATAAACATGTACCCATGCTAAATAGATATATGTTATCAACACTTACATGAACAACATATGATAAGTAAAGGTTAATTATTTGTTTTTAGGGCTTTCAGCAGCAAAATTACTAGTAGAATCAGGTTTGAGCGTGGTGGTTCTTGAGGCTCGGGACCGAGTTGGAGGCAGAACATATACTGTGAAGGTGGGTCATCTGTTAAATTAAGTAAGACTAATTACCTTTGCTTATAGACAAGACAGTCCCTGACCTTTTTAAGAATTGGACATGAGCCAACTTCTGAAAATCCACTTCATTGATATAAAGGTGTTAAATGGGGACATTAAACATTAGCAGAGATGATGGTAAAACCATATGTGATGTTAACTTTAAAATTACATCAAGCAAACAGCATACTTTTGTCAAAGTTGTGAGTGAGTTTGGAATAATACACACAATTAACACTTTTAGCAATACCGATAACATATTAGAACGTCTAACATTAGTACTTGATATACACTATATTGCCAAAAGTATTGGGACGCCTGCCTTTACACACACATGAACTTTATTGGTGCGCAGTCATGCTGGAGCAGGAAGGGGCCATCCCTAAACTGATCCCGCAAAGATGGGAGCATGAAATTGTCCAAAATGTCTTGGTATGCAGACGCCTTAAGAGCAGTGGTGTATTGAGGTCTTGTGCTGCCCTAGACAACACAAAAATCGTCCCCCCCCCCCACCAGGGGCGGACTCACAAATCATGGGGCCCCCGGGCAATAGGCGATCATGGGGCCCCTGTGTCCTTGCCCAAACTCAAAAAAGCCTATGAAAAAGGTACCAGGGGCATCTCATGGGGCCCCCTACTGACCCCGGGCCCTTGGGCAGTGCCCGAGTTTCCAAATGGTCAGTCCGCCCCTGCCCCCCCCCACACACACACACTGAGAGACCCTGACACTGATCAACATCCCCTTTCACACAAAGAGAGCCTGCCATTGACCACCAACAACATCCCAGCCCCCCCACCTGAGAGAGCCTTCCACTACCACTGCCCCCCATACACTGGCAACCCCCTCACCCATCCTGGCGAGAGCGAAGACACTCACCTTCACAGCTCCGGACATCCAGGAAAAAGAGTCAGGCTCTGCATACACCATCAAGCAGCCCCGCAGCCTCTCTCAGATCTCACCTGGTCCCCATGCTGCTTGTGTCCCTTCTTCCATACCTTTGTCTGCCCCCCTGAAAAATGCCGCTGCCCCCAGAAAAATGCAGCCCTTGGCAAGTGCCTTGTGGCAAATATGCCCCTGTTTAAGAGTCCCTTTCACTGGAACTAAAGGGCCAAGCCAAACCCCTGAAAAACAACCCCACATCATAATCCCCCTTTCAGCAAAGTTTGCACTTGGCACAATGCAGTCAGACAAATACCATGCTCCTGGCAACTGCCAAACTCCACGTCCATCGGATTTCCAGGCAGAGAAGCGTGATTCGTCACTCCAGAGCACACGTCTCCACTGCTCTAGAGTCTAGTTGCAGAGTGCTTATACCACTACATCCAATGCTTTGCATTGCACTTGTTGATGTAAGGCTTGGATGCAGCTGCTGACCGAATATTTAGCAGCAAGGAAATTTAAAAGATGGACTTATTGCACAGGTGGCAACCTATCACAGTACCAAGCTTAAATTCACTGAGCTCCTGACAGCGACCCATTCTTTCACAAATGTTTGTAGAAGCAGTCTGCATGCCTAGGTGCTTGATTTTATATACCTCTGGCCATGGCGGTGATTGGAACACCTGAATCCAATGATTTGGAGGGGTGTCCCAATACTTTTGGCAATAATATATATATATATATATATATATATATATATATATATATATATATATATATATATACACACACACACACACATTTTTGTATATAAATGGTCACTTTTTAAGAAATATCATTGAAAGTTGGATTCTGCACAGTATTGTACTACACATGGGACAATCTGCAAACTAAACCTGACTAACACCATGGTTGAGTTACTAAAGGCAAATAGACTGTTCATTTTGCAGGGGATTATGCCAGGAGCTAATCAAATGTGGTAAAGTTCTGCCGACTTCCATCATCCAATCATGTTTTTTTTTTTTCTTTCAAGTGTTTGGGTAAAGTAAATTTTCACCTCATTCACTAAGCCTTGGAGAAAATTCCCTTGCAAAGTGCAACTCCCATTGAAAAGTGAAATGATGTTGACTCACTAACCCTGTCTCTTAGTGACAAAGGACTGATAAGCTGAAACCAATGCCTTTGCAGACGTTTGAAATCTACTACAGTTAAATTGCTTTTTTAAATGTTACATGTATATTATTGGGGTATAATAGCACATTTTACATGCTGCACAGGAATGTGTTTCATAAAGCTAAATACTTTCTATATTTGATATTAGAATAGCAAAGCAAAGTATGTTGATCTTGGCGGTGCCTACGTTGGTCCAACTCAGAACAGAATCCTACGAATTGCCAAAGAATTCGGAGTAGAAACGTATAAAGTAAATGAAGTTCAGCGTCTCATTCATTATGTCAAGGTAAGATGTTAAAATGAAATAATCGTCATCATGCACATCATCACATATTCAGAACACACAGCCAGAGTAAGCTAACTACCATTTGGGCTGCTTTGTCTGATTCAAATCTCAGACAAAATTGTCCAATAAAGGGTTTGGTCATACTTTGCCACCATACCTTCCCTTTAACCTAACCTGGATTGGAAGCCAGTGTAGGGACTGGCAGAAAAGGTGGCAGACACTGAGTATTTGGTAAAGTGAATGAGTCTGGCAGCAGCATTCGTAATAGACTGAGGGTCAGATAGCCTGTGTAGGGGTAGGCCAATGAGGAGAGAGAGAGAAACCAGACATCACAAGTGAGTGAATTAGTATCTTAGTGGTGTCACTGGTTAAGAAGGGGCATATTTTGGAAACATTTGAAGGTGAAGGTGACAAGATTTGTACAGTAATTGGATGTGGGGCTGAAAGGAGAGGCCAGAGTACAGGATTACAGCTAGTACCCTGGCATGAGGGAAAAGAAGCATAAATATGTTATTGATCTCAATGAAAAAATCAGTGCAGGAGGACATATTACAAGCTCAGTTTTTGAAAGATTACATTTTAAGAGGTGGTGTGACATCCATACTGATATGTCAGTTAGTAAATTGGTGAAGTGCAAAGAGACTGAAAGGGTGAAGATGATATTGGAAGCCATGGGAGGATATTGACTGACCAATGGAGGAGGTGTGGAGAGAGAACAGAAGGGGTCTGAGGACAGAGCTAAGGCAGACCCTCTACAGAGAGAGTAAGAGGAGAGGAAGAGGTAAAATTGTAGTTCACACTGAAGGAGCGCTTAGATACACTAAATGCCAAAAGTATTGGGACGCCTGCCTTTACACGCACATGACCTTTAATGGAATCCAAGACTTAGTCCATAGGATTCAACTCTTCTGGGAAGGCTGTCCACAAGGTTTAGGAGTGTGTCTATGAGAATGTTTGACCATTTTTCCAGAAGCGCATTTGTGAGGTCAGGCACTGATGTCGGACGAGAAGGCCTAGCTTGCAGTCTTTGCTTTAATTCATCCCAATGGTGTTCTATCAGGTTGAGGTCAGGACTCTGTGCAAGCCAGTCAAGTTCCTCCACCCCAAACTCGCTCATCCATGTCTTTATGGACCTTGCTTTGTGCACTGGTTCGCAATCATGTTGGAACAGGAAAGGGCCTTCCCCAAACTGTTCCCACAAAGTTGGGAGCATGAAATAGGCCAAAATGTCTTAGTATGCTGACTCCTTATAAGTGTCTCTATAGCAAGCAGTTTGCGGGGGGGGGGATAGGAGTGCTGATGGGGGACCCCAAAAGAGGAGTAGTGGGGCTGTTATGTGGAAACTTTTTGCACAGAACAGTTAAGTATGATATATTTGTAATTTTAGAAAAGATTATGGCTTTACAATCTCTTTAAACAACTATAATAATAATAAAAAAATATGTCAATTATATATTTAACAGACCAGCAGGGAGAAAATAAGAAAAGTTCATTGTTAGGGTTTATTTATTCTCATATTCCACTCCCTTGGGTTCTTTCAACAGTGAGACTACCACCTAATCTCTATGTAAGGGAGGTTCCAGACGATTAAAAGAGTACACAGGCGATCGATTCTTTGTAAAATATCTCAGAGTATAGCACTTCACTAAGAAAATGTAAATAAAGTTGCAAGAAAAAGTATGTGAACCCCTTGGGATTACGTGGAGTTTTGCATGAATTGGGCATAAAATGTGCTCTGAACGTCATCTAAATCACAACAATAGAAGAACACAGTCTGCTGAACATAATACTACACAAATATTAGATGTTGCCATGGTTTATTTGCACATAACAAGTAAACATTCACGGTGCAGGGAGGAAAAAGTATGTGAACCTTTGGACTTAATAACGGTTGACCCTCCTTTGGCAGCAATAAAAACCTCAACCAAATGTTTCCTGTAGTTGCAGATCAGACCTGCACAACGATCTGGAGTAATTTTGGACCACTCCTCTTCACAAAACTGTTTCAGTGTAGCAATATTCTTGGGATGTCTGGTGTGAATCGCTCTCTTAAGGTCATGCCACAGCATTTCAATCGGGTTGAGGTCAGGACTCTGACTGGGCCACTCCAGAAGGCGTATTCTGTGCTGTTGCAGCCATTGTTTTGTTGAATTACTTGTATGCTTTAGGTCACTGTCCTGTTGCATCAGCCATCCTCTGCGGAGCTTCAGTTGGCGGACAGATGGTCGTATGTTTTCCTGCAAAATGTCTTGATAAACTCTGGAATTCATTTTCCCATCAATGACAACAATCCGTCCAGGCCCTGAGGCAGCAAAGCAGCCCCAAACCATGATGCTCCCTCCGCCATGTTTTACAGTGGGGATGAGGTTTTGATGTTGGTAGGCTGTGCCTTTTTTTCTCCACACATAGTGTTGTGTGTTCTTCCCAAACAACTCAATCTTGGTTTCATCTGTCCACAGTATATTTTGTCAGTAGTGCTGTGGAACATCCAGGTGCTCTTTTGCAAACTTCAAACGTGCTGCAATATTCTTTTTGGACAGCAATGGCTTCCTCTGTGGTGTCCTCCCATGTACTCCATTCTTGTTTAATGTTTTCCTTATTGTAGATGTTTCAACAAAAATGTTAGCATGTGCCAGAGATTTCTGTAGGTCTTTAGCTGACACTCTGGGATTCTTCTTTACCTCATGCAGCATTCTGCGCTGTGCTCTTGCAGTCATTTTTACAGGACGACCACGCCTAGGGAGAGTAGCAACAGTGCTAAACTTTCTCCATTTGTAGACAGTCTGTCTTACCATGGACACATGAACATCAAGGCTTTTGGAGATACTTTTGTAACCCTTTCCAGCTTTATGCAAGCCAACAATTCTTGATCGTAGGTCTTCTGAGAGCTCTTTTCTGCGAGGCATGGTTCACATCAGACAGTGCTTCTTGAAACCAGTAAACCCAAAACAGGTGTGTGTTTTTTAAGGGCAGGACAGCTGTCAGCAACACATCCAATATCATCACACTGATTGGAGTCAAGGTTGGCTCACTCCTGGCTCCAATTAGCTCTGGGAGAAGTCATTAAGCTAGGGCCTCACATACTTTTTCCTCCCTGCACTGTGAATGTTTACTTGTTATGTGCAATTAAACCATGGCAACATCTAATGTTTGTGTAGTATTATGTTCAGCAGACTGTGTTCTTCTATTGTTGTGACTTAGATGACGCTCAGAGCACATTTTATGCCCAATTCATGCAAAACTCCACGTGATCCCAGGGGGTTCACATACTTTTTCTTGCAACTGTACACAATGTTGATCACTGATAATGCAATCTGTCACAAATGCCCATGTCTTACACTCCACGTTGTGAAAGCAGTAAATGTTGTGTTGCCAGACAGTAATCCTCCTCTATAAATCCTGTATAATAATAATAATAATAATGATATCAGTTATAGCCTGACCTAGTGTTGTCAAAGGTCCTTCTTCTCTCCTGCAATGAAAGTCCTACCCTAGCTCCTGAGCTGATGAGTTCAGGATACCTGACCACATGTGCTAAGGGCATAAGTGGTGAGAAACGTGAATGAAGACAATCCCTAGGGACCCTGGGGATTCTCTTCACTCCATTTTCTCACCACCCATGCCCTTACCGCATGTGGTCAGCTGTCTTGAACTCATCAGCTCAGAAGCTACTCTATCTTCTCCTTATTTTTTGGGCAAAATAGCATTAGGGGGTTCACATACATGTCAAGATGTACCAAGACGGCCTTACAGAGTATCTTAAAGTACTTCAGTCCAATTGTAGGCAGAAGCAAGACCAGGTGGTAGGCACCCCCAGGGGAGGAACAGCACACACTGTGATTGAAGTTGTAGAATATGTGTTGTTAAGAACATTCCAACTTACAGCTAAAGAATCTATGCAGCAACTTAGTACTGTCAGAAAATATTCACACATAATTATGTGGCGCTTGCAGGAAGCGATGCAAGGAGACTAACAGCACCTGGCACAGAAGGAGGCTGTAGGCAGTAAGCAGAGAAGAACTACTAACAGAAAGGTTCTCCACTGCAGCACTAGTGAGCAGTCTCTATGCCAGGGGTCTCCAATCTATGGCCCGAGGGCCGGATGTGGCCCTTTGCTACCCTTGGGGCACTATTCCTTCCACTGAGACCAACAATGGGGCAGTACTTGTTCCCATGAAACCAATGGTGGTGTACTAGTCTTCCCACTAATACCAATAGTGGGGTACTACTCCTACTGACCAACAAACCTGAGGCCATGTTTTTTCTCACCGATGCTGGGGCCAAGACATTTTCTATCCTCACTGATCCTAATCTGGCCCTCCTAAAGTCTGAAGAACAGTATTCTGGCCCTTTGTTTGAAAAGTTTGGAGACCCCTGCTCTATGCTGTCTCTTCTCCTCTGGAACCTCTCTCTATGTTAGGCAGACTCTCCCTGGCCAGTGGGTTTCTGTCCCTGACCTACTCACACGCAAATTGAACACCAACTGCTGTGGGCCACTGCTTTTCATAAGCACTGCCCAACCGCGGCGGCAGCATCCAAGCAAACAGAAGCCAACCCAATGACACATACAGAGGCCTAGAGGAATTTACATTCCCCTTGTGCTCCACTCTCCCTGCATGGTGGTTGCAACAGTGACACCTGTGTAGGGAGCTCAACCCTCACATGCCTACACCTTTAGATATACAATACACATAACTAAAAATTTACTCTGTTGGTAGAATAACAGAAGTGGGATAAATTGATTACGTTTAAAATATTTCATAGAGCGTATTTTACCCTGTACAGGCTCCATAAGATGTATTCTTCTATATCTCCAGCTTCCTGGAGATGTTCAGACTCTATGGAGGACTACATACATGTATTTTTGTCCTGGTCATGCCCTGCAATTGTGATGCATTGGCGGCAGGTCCTAGATGTTTATCACTTCTGTGGTTCATGTTCCTGTTGCCTTATCACCAAGGTTGTGTCTCTTATGCCTGGCAAAGAACTGGCCCCCAAGCTAGCAACAAGAGTTCTTTTAAATGATAAGTTCACCTTTCGTAACATATTACACCCAGATTCAGGGAGCGCCGTGGTAGTTCATTGAGTCTTCCTGTCAGTAAGTATCTGCTTGCCCATAAGGGATGGGCGAGCAAGCAGATACAGTGACAGGTCAGAGGGAGACCTGCATGGCACCAGGGATCTACTGATCGCTTGTGCAATGCTTTAAAGCAGTGGTTCTCAGTCTGTGGAACCTCAGGACCCACATTTATCCTTGGTTATTAAGTCGTGACCCAAAAATAATGTAATTTCCAAAATATTATAATTTATTACACAAAACAACTTGTGCAGTATTCTACATAATTTACCATAATAAAACACTGTTTTAGACTTTTAAAATAAATAATTGTTTTAAGCATACATAGAATAACAAAAATCCACCAATATCCCCTAACTTTAAGCAATCTCCCCTCTACCTCACACTAATAGCCCAGTAAGCTGAGCAATGCCTCTCTGCCCTTCACTCTCTCAAAGGCACACTAATTTAAGAGTATTAATATCTTCAGTTGCTTTTTAAATAAACAATATAGTCTGTGCAAAATTTGTGTGAGGGTTTTCAGCCCCCCCCCCCCCCATTTAATTCAATCCCCCCTTCAATGCCCTGCCTGCTTTAGCCCACCATTTCAATCCCCCTTCCTTTCCCCTTTTATGCTCTTTCCTTATCCCCCTTTCACACCCTCCTTTAACACCCACCTTGACCCCCTTTTCATGCCCTCCACTTTCATGGTTTCCTTCGGTCCTCCCCTTTCATGCACATTTTCAGTCACCCCCCCCCCCCCATCACCATCGCTTTCCTCTTTTTTTTCACTCCTTTCAAAATTCTCTCTCCATCACCCATTCACAACCCAGGAGAATTACCTAGCAGAGTCATTCCCTGGCATCCAGTGGTGCTTTTCTTCCCTCTTGTGTGGTTGCCTGGCTGGCTGGGCAGGACAGTTATTTGCCAATTCTTTCCAGCGCTGCCATGGAGGAAGGAGGAATGAGTGCAAGGGCCGTGGGACCGCTTTGTAAGTGCACTGTGTGCACCACCTTAATGGGACTGGCTGGCTACAATAATACAAATATATTGAGGCCAGAAATAGTTGCAGTCCCGGCCTTCTTAACATTTGTATTAGTGCGGCTGACGGTTTTTATTAAGCTTTGTTGTCAGGGCATTGGTCATTTTATTGGGACATTAGAGAGGCCTGGGGAGCACTTGCACACTGGCCCAGTACTGACCCGGTACGCCCTTGGTCACGACCCACTTTTGGGTTGCGACCCATTACTTGAGAAATATGGCTTTAGAGTTTCCAGAAACAAAAAATAATAAATGCTCATTTTTTTACCTGCAAAAAATGTGCATTTGTTAATTGTTTTTTTAAAGTGAACTTATCCTTTAAGTCTCCTCTTTTTTACGCCTGAAAAGCTATAGCCCTTCATTGGAAAAAGCCCTCTCCTCCCTTAGTTTTTTTTTGGATGAAATTGGTTAACTCAGTTCTACCCTTGTACCAAGACACCTACCATAACAGGGGCTACCTGACAAAGTTCACCAGAGTTTGGTCCTATAGGTTGGAAAATTCTTCCACTGCTACCCCATCTGATACTTAAGTGTATACTATCATAATTTTAGGTGACATGGTCTCTGATTGTTCCTATATGTGACTTTATTTTGTGATTGAGCCTTGCAAATAGTTTTTGTTTGTTTTGCTGTTTTCTGTGTACTTTTTGAAATACATTTTGGTAGCGGCTCCTGCGTGAGCAGCAATGTCTGTATTTTGCCCATATACAGAACCATTATATAACTGTAAATCCAAATAAAAAAGATTTTCGAAAAAAAAAAAGTGTCCCTGCAAAGAAGCGAGTTCATACCTATCTGTCCTGCTGCCTACACCACAAATCTAAGCTGTATTGCAAACATACCACTAATGCTGAATGCTCAGCATCCGACACACACCTCCAGTACTGTAAAACTGTAATCTTACTGATAAAAGGAAAATAAAAAAGAAGTCAAATGAATCAAAGTCTCAGCCGATAAGAGTATAAAGAAAAGTATAGGAGATCAAAGTGAAAAGGAGCTGACAAGCGCTCTAGGGGAAAAAAGTCATAAATTGAAAAGAGCAATAGGCCACATTTATCCCTAGAAGCAAGCAAAGTAGGAGGGCTCATGGCTCCATCTAGTGGTAATCTATTTTGACATTTTTTTTGCTATAGTGTACATATGAACCATTTTATTTTACACCGTCAGCAAGTCAAAATGAAGAGCAAATTTACACTAAGAAATCAATAGCAACTGAGAACGGACAGCGTGAGGATAATATGTACACAAAGCCTTTTTCAATAGACCTGACAATAGGTGAAAGATAAATCAGTAGCTGCCTCAAAGTAAACAGGAATCTGTTCCCTGGCAGAAGATTCAGATGTTATAGCCTATGAGAATTACACATTGCTAAATGTATCAGAACATTTCCTATTAAAAGTGAACCTGTCATGTCCACCAAAGTGTCCACATTGTATACTAGTCAATTACAGACGCAGTTCAGTTCTTGTGCTTTACCATTGTACAGTGGCTGGTAATGCTTAGGCCTCTGACAACTGAATTGCGGGAGAGGCTTATTTACAGCAAATTCACACATTATAGCACTCTTATCTCATAAACTGCTCTAGTGTTGATAGATCCACGCTCAGTTTACACCTGAGCAGTTTGAAATGCATTTCCCAAAATGCTGTAACTCTAAAGTAGTAGTACCCCCATAGGATCCAGCAGTATTTAAAGGTCCCTTATTTTCCTGGACCATTAGGATCCCCATTATATTTGATGGTACCAGCCAAGCACACAGTCACAGTCACTCCTTTGGCCTAATAAACAGTCATGGGGTATGCTTTTTGTTTGCTTTAATTAGTCTCACAGTCTCAAGAGCATGAAGGAGATACCAGGAGGCAGGCAGTTACTGTAGGAGAGCTGGACAGGGCCGTAGAAGGTCCTTAGCCCATCAGCAGGACCAGTATCAGGAAACAGGATGAGCACTGTCAGAGCCCTACAAAATGACCTCCAGCAGGCCAATGGTGTGAATATCTCTAAACAAACAATCAGAAACAGACTTAATGAGGGTGACCTGAGGGCCCAACGTCCTCTAGTGGGCCCTGTGCTCACTGCCCAGCACCATAGAGCTTGATTGGCATTTTCCATTGAACACCAGAACTGGCAGGTCCACCACTGGTGCCCTGTGCTTTTCACAGATGAAAGCAGGTTCACCCTGAGCACTTGTGACAAATGTGTAAGGATCTGGAGAAGCCATGGAGAATGTTATACTGCTAGTGTGACTGTTTTGGTGGTGGGTCAGTGATGGTCTGGGGAGGCATATCCAGGGAGGTATGCACAGACCTGTACAAGCTAGACAATGGCACCCTGACTGCCATTAGGTATCAGGATGAAATCCTTGGACCCATTGTCAGACCCTATACTGGTGCAGTGGGTCCTGGGTTCCTCCTGGTGCCGCTCTTGGTGAGATATGCAGGCAGTTCCTGCAGGATGAAGGAATTGATACCAATGAATGGCCCCCACGCTCGCCTGACCTAAATCCAATAGAACACATATCATGTTTTGGTCGTCCATCCGATGCCACCAGGTTGCACCTCAAACTGTCCAGGAGCTCAGTGATGACCTGGTCCAGATATGGGAGGAAATACCCCAGGACACCATCCATCATCTCATTAGGAGCATGCCCTGACATTGTAAGGTATGTATCCAAGCAAGTGGGGGTCATACAAGCTACTGGGTACCATTTTGAGTTTCTGCAATGAAATTTCAGCAAAATGGACTAGCCTGATGCATAATTTTTTCACTTTCCTTTTCCGGGTGCCTTTGAATTCAGTCCTTTGTAGGTTGATAATTTTAATTTTCATCAAACAATGGGGCATCCTTACATTCCTAACACATTACCCAGTCCATATCAGTATAGATATCCAGCATGATATTTTTCCCATTTAGATCTGATGCGATTCCATTTATTTTTTTGAGTAGTACATATATATATATATATATATATATATATATATACAGTATTTTCTTTATGATGATGGGTCCCCCTCTCTTTGTCCTGGTGACTACTGTCACTGAGACAGAAAGTGAGGGAGATTTCAAAAATTTAGGTTGTAACCAGAGAAAAAGATGAAGGAAAATCATCCATCATTCTGTGACAACTCTCTATGGTGGGATTTCAATTCACTTTGGAGAGATTAGCTCTCATTTCCTGTTGTCTCTCTAGGACAGGAAGTGAAGGAAAATCTCCCCAACAGAACACAGACAGCCAGAATATCTCAGTAGGGGTTTTTACTTTTCACTATCCTATATAAAGCTAAAAAGGTTTTGGCTTCACATATGCTAACTATATACACATTGACACTGGTACATTGCAGCAGATTCAGATATACCATATTTTGTGTACAGTATTTTGCTGGATGCTTTCTGTTATGGTTAACTTTTTTTTCTCATTTATATTCACTTAGGGCAAATCATATGCCTTTAAAGGTGCATTCCCTCCTATGTGGAACCCAATTGTGTACTTGGATTACAACAATCTATGGAGGACCATGGATGAAATGGGAAAAGAGGTAAAGTGTCATAAATCACAGATACATGCATGTATTAAGGGGGAAGCCTTAGCATATGTAATGAACTACAGCCTATTCATAAATAAATAAATAAATCTACTCTTTTTAATGTAATCGAAGAATAATAAAATAATGATTATACAGTATAAAATTTTAGTAGAATGCAAATGTAAAAGTACAGTGAATTGTTTGTTTTCCAGTACAGTATAGGGTAAAATGTATATTAATGGGAATTTGATCTGTGGGAACTGCATAACATCCTTAAATACTGTCTGTAAAGAATTAAAATCAATGCACATAGTTGGTAGTCTATGGGGCATGCTCAAGAATACATTTTTCCTTATGGGTTGAGTAGGGTGTTAATTTGATATCTCAGAAAGTCTATAAGGCACATAGGAGAGCATTTTCAAAAAGGAGTTCTTCTCCTTCAAAGGTACAGGTAACAAATATACTAGCCATGTGCCTTATGGTGGATTTTACAACAAATTTATATTGAATTGACTCCAGGTGGCAATTATGGAAGTTTGTAAAGACAAACCCAATTTCAGTCTGGCACAGCCAAGCCAGGATTGGGGTTAAACCGTGAACCACCATTGTGGGTTCAAATCCTGACCCACTCTATTTATTCATTATTTTCATGCATGTGGTCTAACTGTGTTGCTTGCTTCACCTCTATTTTTAGAATACATTTTCATTGTTCTTTTACTTACTATATGTCACAGATTCCTAATGAAGCTCCATGGATGGCACCACATGCTGAGGAATGGGATAAGATGACAATGAAAGAACTTATTGACAAGTTGTGCTGGACCACGTAAGACCTACCAAGACTTAGGCTGGCCATACATTATAAATTATCTGGAGATTTTTGATTTAGATTTACCAAAAACCATATAATAGGAGGACAAACCTAAACAACACTTTCAGTTGTATCCAATTAGGCAGGCCCTTGTACTACACAGTTGAAGGTAAATCTAAAGGAAATTGGGCAGAAAATTGGAAGATAATTGTATAATGTATGGCCAGCCTTAGGCTGTAATCACATGGCATCTTATAATTATAGTGACACCTCTGTGATACTTTTTTGGGTATGCTGCTAAAAAATTGGGCTCTCACAATTGTTTTCTCACTGAAGCACACATTTCACTGAGGAAGCAGGGTAGTCAAGAAATCAACATAGACTTCTTTGGACCTATTACTTTGACTACATTGACTATTGTAACTCCCTGCTCATTGGCCTACCTCATCGCAGGCTATCCCCTCTTCAATCTATCATGAATGCTGCTGCCAGACTCATCCACCCTTACTAACCGTTCTGTATCAGTCACCCCTCTCTGCCAATCCCTCCACTGGCTTTCCATTGCCCAACAGATACAATTCAAAACAATAACAATAACATATAAAACCATTTATAACTCTGCCCCAAATTACATCAGCAAACTTGTCTCCAAATATCACCCAAACCGTACTCTCCGCTCCTCACAAGACCTCATGCTCTCTAGCTCCCTTGTTTCCTCCTCCCATGCTCATCTCCAGGACTTCTCCAGGAGCTTCCCACATCCTCTGGAACTCTCTACCCCAATTTATCAGACTATCACCTACTCTGCTCACTTTTAGGCGATCTCTGAAAACCTATCTCTTCAGGGAAGCCTATCCTGCCCTCAGCTAATAATGGAATCTTCTACTCTTCCTACCAGTCCATCCCTCATAGTTATTACCTTTTGTACCACTAACCCCTCCCTCCTAGATTGTCAGCTCCAAGGAGCAGGGCCCTCCTATCCCTTTGTATTGAACTGTATTGTTGCTGTATTGTCTCCCTTTATATTGTAAAGTGCTGAGCAAACTGTTGGCGCTATATAAATCATGTATAATAATAATAATATTACTTCAAAACTAGCAACAGAGTAGAGCTCAGGGACTAGCAGTGCATAGGCAGTAGGAGAACCACAGCGAGAGCCCAGTTTCTAAAATAGTATACCCAGCAAAGCAGAGTTAGGTAACTTTTTATGTTTCACTTATTGCTTCAAAGCTTATTGCTCCCAAAACATTTCTTTTTAAGCTTCAAGGCAACAAAGAGTTTGAATTTATTTTGCTTCCCTTAGGGATTAGTTGTGTGTTTAAACTTAGATGGTAAAGCCAAAACTTAAAAAAATATTTTGGATAGAATAGGGCATGTTTAAAACCTTTGTTGGGTAAGAAGAAATCTGCCAAAAGAGAAAGGGCTAATTCATAACAGATACGCTGTGGTCACGTTGGCAGCTGTTCCAATGCAGCCCCGATGCATAGAGAAGACAAAATGCCTTGTTTCCATTGATGTTAGTTTACACCCCTGTGTTAATTTGTTGTGTATTGAAAGTAAATAATACTGTAACTTTCACAAGCTATTATTGATCGAACAATGTTATTGTTCGGGGCAGTACAATATTTTTTTTTTTTTCTAGTTTATATGACATTGATTTGGCTCTGCATTTTTGTGCTCCTTTTGTTATATAGAAAGGAAGTTAGCTCTAAAATTATTATTTGTTCCACAATTTGTGCATTTATACTTTTTTAAATTTTCTTTTATGTACAGTAAGTTTATAAAGCATGGGTTTATTAAAGATTTTATGTACTTAGTATAACTTACTTGTTTGTTTCACATTACAGCACAGCTAAGAAATTTGCAACACTTTTTGTGAATGTAAATGTAACATCCGAGCCTCATGAGGTCTCAGCTCTTTGGTTCCTGTGGTATGTAAAACAGTGTGGAGGAACTACAAGAATTTTTTCAACTTCTAATGGTGGCCAGGTAAACTGAAAATCTGTTCTGTATCATTTAGAACTAAGCTATGATATGACAAAATTCAGATGTTATACATTATACTAGCTATAGGTATTCTTCTGGCCAGTGCAAAAACATTTTCAACAATAGTTAATGGATTGAAAATATACACTATTGTGGATCACTCAGAGCTACTTGAGTAAGTTTCAAAAGCCCAACACAAGCCAAAGATTGGAAAACATTAGAATTGGAGAGATTCCACCACCCTTCCTGTTACATTGACAAGGGTCAGAGGGAAAGGAAGCAACTTGGACAATCTTCAGTGTGAACAGACAGGTTTGGAGCAAGGTAGAGGCAGGGGAGATTTCTGCTTCAGGCACTGTGCTGGTGGAGGGTGACCTACAATGTAATGTATGGGCTAGCAGATGCAGCCACGGAGCTCAGTGGGAGACCAGTCATCCCACACACCTGAAAGCAGGACCAGATCTAGCCAGTCTGACATGGGAGTGCAGTAAAAAATATCAGGGTGGCAGAGGATAGGATAACAGCAGGGCAGTGTACAAAAACAGGGATCAGTAGCGGAGTATACTGGGGGTCAGCAGGGCAGAGGACGGGGGTTAGCAGAGCAAAGAGCAGGGATCAGCAATTTGTAGGGCAGTGTACAGGGGGTCAGCAGGGCAGAGGCCAGGCGGTCAGCAGGATGGAAGACAGGGGTCAGTATGGTAGTGTATTGCAGGAGTCAGAAGTTTGTAGGCCAGTGTACAGGGGTCAGCAGGGCAGAGGATGGTCAGTCAGCAGAGGACTGTACAGGGGTCAGTATAGCAGTGCACAGGACATATAGTATGTTTTTAAGGTGAATTTAGCCTCTAAACAGTATAAACAATATGTAAACATTGACAATATTAATACCCATAGAAAGTAATCTGACTGGCTTTACAACAAAAAAGTCAAAACAGGATGACAAAATGTGAGCAAGACTGGGATTATGAAAGATATGAGGCACCCCAGGAAAGAACAGAGAAATACGTTCTGTGGCTGTCCAGTGGGAGGGTCTTAAAGGGGGATTGAACAGAATCTGTTCCTGCTGTATACAATGCACACCTATACCACACTCCTTGTACCCACAAAATACTAAATACTGTGCCACAACCGACAGTCTCAAAGACACAAATAAACCTCAGGACAAAAGAACATTAAATGTTTTCAATTATTTATTTATTTCAGGTACATATATATAGTGCCGTAAATTTACGCAGTGCTTTACATATATATTGTACACTCACATCAGTCCCTAACCCTCAAGGGGCGTACAATCTAAAGTCCCTAACTCATATTCATATACAAGGGCCAATTTAGACAGGATCCAATTAACCTACCAGCAAGTCTGTGGAGTGTGGGAGGAAACTGGAGTACCCAGAGGAAACCCACGCAGGCACATGGAGAACATGCAAACTCCAGGCAGGAGGTGCCGTGGTTGGGATTCGAACCAATGACCCTAGTACTGCCAGGCAGAAGTGCTAACCATTTAGCCACTGTGCTGCCCGTTCATATGTTTTTATAAGCTCCAAGGAGCAGGGCCCTCCTATCCCTCTTGTATTGAACTGTATTGTTGCTGTATTGTCTCCTGTTATATTGTAAAGCTCTGAGCAAACTGTTGGCGCTATATAAATCCTGTATAATAATAATAATAATAATAAAAAAGGATATTTTTGTCTTAGGTGGCCATACAGTACATGGATCAAACTTCATCTGCTTCAGTAGGGACTGGCTGAATTTTGATCCATGTATGGGCAGGCTGGTTGTAATCTACTGATTGACTTCTCTACAATCAGCCTCTAGGAACATTTCTGCACGATTAGCATTGCCAACTATAGTTGGCAGCACTGATATATGTATTCTGGTGGCATTGAAGCCTGTCCTCTGTCAGAACATACCTCAGCGGGAGTCGTTCCCCATCCACATCGAATTTGTAGTTTGTACCTCTTTATTTTTTTTCAACACATTGTTAAACAAATCAAATGATTAATGTGTGGGCTGCAGCAGTCCAGCAGAGTTTTAGTCTGAAAGGAAGCTAACTTTGCTAAATTAAAGCTAATATCAAATAGATTTTAAAAAAAAAAATCACCCCATATGCAGTAATGTATTCACAATAAAATTGTTAAATTTTATTTTTTTAGACCTCTTTTTACCTAAATTTGTCTTGAAACTTCTATAATCCATTTTACAGCAGCACTCAGATTGCAAAACAAGGGACAGTAGGCAAAATTATTGATCACTATTTCACTGATATGATTTTGATACACTAAAGTGGTTGTTATTGATTACTGTACTTGTCTGTTTGCAATCCCCACTACTCTTTTGATTAGACCACATATTGTTTGTTTTATACATACTGTTTTCAGGAGAGGAAATTTGTTGGTGGAGCTGGCCAGATTAGTGAAAAGATGGCAGAGCATTTACAAGGTCGCGTAAAATTACAAAGGCCTGTCGTGCGCATTGACCAAACTGCAGAAAATATTGTAGTGGAAACACTAAATCATGAAATTTATGAGGTAAGCTGAAGAAAATGAAATGTTCAGAATAAAATTATACTTTTTCAAAAATTGCACAGCAATGAAAAACTTAGAGCATACAATACGGCAGTTAACGTCAATTAGGGCCTGAGTGGATGGCCTTTTGTTAGTTTTAAGCAAGTTTTGCATTCATATATACAAGTTTTACGGGAATGCAAAAATCACATGTGCCATGTCAACTGCAGGTCAGAAGGACATCAAATGCACCTGTCAATGAAATCTGAATGATCCAAGAACAATCTCAAGCTGCCATTGATCTGATGTCATTGACTCAAGCCCAAATCCCATCAGACATATACTCTAAAGCAGCCTTTCTCAACCAGGGTGCGCAGGCGTCCTGGGGTGCCTTAAGGTTTCTTCAGGAGTGCCTTGGCAAAATGTCTAAAAATTAGCCAAAACTTCTATACTAGCCAGCGGGTGGAACAATCCAGCCTTTTAGTTACACAAGCTTTCATTGAGCACCATTACGACCTTCTAGCCGCTGGCATTCTGACAACCAATCACATCATCCGTTGATAAGGAGTACGTCGGTTTCCTGCACAACATACTAGTTTGACCCTCCCCTGCCCCTCTCTGATGGGGTCACATTAGTTGAGTGATGGATAAAAACTGGGGGAGGAGAGAAACATTGGAAACTATTCAGTACCAGTGTGCAAAAGGTGTATTTGCTTTGGAAGAATAAATCACCGTTACTGTTGGGTGTCCTACATGTGTGGATGTTGCTGCATTATATAAAAGTGTTAGAATAGTTTTTCATATTTTAAAATGGGGTGCCTTTTTAAAATTATGGACAATCTAGAGGTACCCCAGGGGGGGTGCCTCAAAACTGTCCATAATTTTAAAGGGTGCCTCCAGACTGTCCATAATTTTTAAAGGGTGCCTTGACTGAAAAAAGGTTGAGAAACACTGCTCTAAAGCAAACCTGTAATTTGCTTTAAGGTCTCCCCTCCCCAGCAGCATACAATCACCTTCCCTTACCTGTTCAGCCAATGAGACTGAATAAAATGCTCAGTATTTGCTACTATGGGTTTGACACTTCTTGTACTTGCTGTTTGGCCTAGAGTTGTCACATTTGGGCTTGAGAGTGCTCAAACTTGAATGAGCTCCCACTGGAGCAACTTGAAGATTACAAAAGACAATCTTCGGTTTAACTGACCAGCAGATGTCTCCTCCTGCTCCCTTCCTGCTGAAGCTGATCTCACAATAGCTTTAATAAGCAATGTCAAGTGGAAAACAGAGGCTGAAACCTCCCTTCTCCCTCTGCATTGCTCTTGCTGTTGTCTCTGGAAAGTCAAGACAAGTTGCAGCTCTGAATCAACTGTCTCCTTCAAAGCTATTGTTGGATCAGCCACAGCAAGGGGCCAGGTCAATCCTTACAGCTAGAAACACTCAAAAAACATGGGACACAGAAAAAAAAACTGAAAAACTAATTTTAATGATTGACCTTTTTTAAAGTGAACTTGTTATTTTGTCCTGCATATCTTTATAACACTTAATGAACACCATGGGAGAGATTTACTAAAACTGGAGAGTGCAAAAGTTGGTGCTGCTCTGCATAGAAACCAATCAGCTACTAGGTTTTATTGTCACAGCTTAAATGAACAAGCTGAAGTCAGAAGCTGATTGGCTACCATGCACAGCTGCACCGGAGTCTGAGTGCTCCATTTTTAGTAAATCTTCCTCCAGTTACATTATTGCATATAATCTGTGTTTTTTTTTTTCAGGCCAAATATGTTATTAGTGCCATCCCACCAACTCTCTGTTTGAAGATTCATTTTAATCCTGAATTACCGCCACTAAGAAATCAGCTCATCAGTCGCGTTCCTCTGGGTTCAGTTATAAAATGCATGGTTTATTACAAGGAGGCCTTCTGGAGAAAGAAAGGTATTTGTTCTGATAACCTATACAAGTAAAAAGTAACATAACTCCCTTGTACAGCTTCTTCTTATAACAGATTACACTCTCATTTTTCTAGTGGGTTTATCATTTCCTTGTGTGTTTAATTTTTTTTTTTAGAACACTTTACCCAGTTTTATATTAGTCAAATCCTAATATGCTGTGAATTCCCTTTTTTTTTAAAGTTGGGTATACTCTTGATTGACTGAGCCCATAGTATGATTCGTAATGGTTGCAATATTGGCACATGTACACAGCATGACATTGCTATAGCTTGCTGTAGGCACTGCAGTCACATTACTGTCAATGAATTAAAGGTTAACTTCACCTTTTGCACCATGAAACATGTTACACCCAGGAATCTGTGAATGAATAAACTAGCTAAAACTGAAACCTTGCTGTTCAGGCAAACCTTTAGCAGCCTTGGCATCATTTTAACTTAGCTATAACTCTAAGATTAATTTGCATACCATTATTTTTATATTATGGTAGATTTTATATTTTTGGTATATTGTTTTAATAAAAGCTTTCTCCATTTTTCTATTATACAGTATGCTGACAAATGCACAAAAATGTAAAAGAAAATGTATTTTTTAAGATGAATTACTAGTTACTTTTTTAATACTTTAATCGTATCTGACAATTTCAGTACTGAGGTACTCTGTCATCTAGAGGCTGTCCTCCAACCTATAGGTTTATTCTATGAATTAAAACTCCAGCCTGCATGTGATAACAAAGTCATACAGTATCTGAACAGCAGTGAATGGTAGAAATGAGGAAATCTGCTCTGGCTCAATATTCAATTTTTGAGGGGTAAATTCTGTTTGAAACTCTATTAAACCTTAATTTAGCAGAGAAAACCATGGAAATCTAAGAGGGGGAAATTGTGTTTGTAAATGTTGGCAATTTTTAGGGCTTATTGGAAAACTACTGTTAAAATAAGCCATTGAAATCTGTGCACTGCCACTGGGGACATGTGCAGCGCTTTACACATAATATTGTACATTCACATCAGTCCCTAACCCTTAAGGGCGTATAATCTAAGGTCCCTAACTTACATTCATACATACACATATTAGGGCCAATTTAGACAAGATCCAATTTACCTCCCAGCATGTCTTTGGAGTATTGCTGAAAACCAGAGTACCCTGAGGAAACCCACGCAGGCACAGGGAGAACATGCAAACTCCAGGCAGGTGATGCCATGGTTGGGATTCAAACCAATGACCCTAGTACTGCCAGGGGGAGTGCTAACCATTGAGCCACTGTGCTGCCCATACTGTAAAAAAATAATAATTACACACACATATATATATTACACTGGGGAGAGGGTCATTTAATGCAGTTGTCAGAGCAACATTGAAATACACAAATTCTTTAAATTGTGTGCTTGGTGGATGTTACTATTTTTGGGTTTTTTTTTGAGCCTGTATAGCATTGCACTAGTGATCAGCAGATCACTGGTGCCATGCAGGTCTCCTGCAGACTATCATTGGATTCTGTGTGCTCTACCTCATACAGACAGACAGTTTTATACTGACAGGAAAATTCAGTGAACTACCACAGCGCTTAACAAAGCTGTGATAGTTCATTGAGAACTACAAGCCGACATCTGCAATGGATGTCGGTACTTGTAGTTCAATTATTCACAGAACTCTATGAATGAATGACGTGACCAGGTGAGCAGAGCCCCGCACGGCTGCATTGTTTTAAAAATGTTAGAGGGAGAGAGGGCAGCAGCTGCAGGAGTGGGAACAAGTTACATGTTCCACCATAAAAATAGTGAACTTATCCTTTAACTGCCTCCCGCCCACCATATAAGGAAATGACGGGCGCAAGGCGGTTCTCTCATTCTGGGAGGACATCATATAACGTCCTCCTACTCTAACCACGCATGTGCGGCTCTGGGGGCATGCAGCGCGGCGATCGGTGGTGCGCTGTGTCCCTTGGACACAGTGGATCACCGATCAACATAAAGAGCCGAAGATGTTGGCTCGGTCATGTGATCAGCTGTGCCCAATCACAGCTTATCGTATGTAAATAGGGATATGCTGGTTATCAGCATTTCTCTTCTCATGAGCTGTCACGCTGACAGCTTGAGAGGAAAGGAAAGCAGGTAATCTGCATCCCTCAGAGGGGACATGTACACTGATCATTAGGGCACTGATGATCAGTGTGCCCTGATGATCAGTGTAGCCCCAGCAGTGCCACCTACCAGTGCACATCAATGCTACATATCAGTGCCCATCTGAGCTGCCTTTCAGTGTCACCTATCAGTGCCAGTCAGTGCCACCTATCAATGCCAGTCAGTGCCACCTATCAGTGCTGCCAATCAGTGCCACATACAGTTCTCTCCCCCCGTTGGTAATACTCGACGATCACCTGGGTGCCGGTGAGTAATCACCGGCCAGGACCCGGTGATTGACAGCTGAGCCTGAAAACAGCGGTGCGGGTAGGGTGCATGGCCCCTACCCCGACCTGCAAAATCACGTATATATACATGAGTTTTTCAGCGTTTTCTAGCTTTTTTGCATTGTCGCTTTGCCGCGATTTTTCACATTTTTTTTGTCAAAAAAAGTCCAAAAACGCTGGTTTGCTGCGATTTACTTCATTTTGCCATGTTTTTCAGCATTACAGCTAGAAAACTCCACTAGAAACCCACTAGTTTTGGGGGGTTTTTCCAGTCCAAAAACACCCCTGCCAAAAAACATTGATTACAGTCTATGTGTGTATGGACACATAGGATAACATGCTGGGGAGTTTACTGGCTGTAGAAAAAAATGCCAAAAGCCAAAAACAGCAGCTGTAAAAACATCCAGTATGCATGAGGATTAATGGAGAAGTGGATATACATGATGGATGAAAATGCAATAATTGATATTATTAGTGTAAAAATGAGCTTTGGTACACATTTTGTTTATTTGTTTATTATTTTTACCAGTAAAAGTAGGTTTCATTAGTTTACACTGTTCAGAAAATCCATTTTTATCTGATTATCTGTGTTTCTTCAGATTTTTGTGGAAGTATGATCATTGAAGATGAAGAAGCACCAATTGGACTGACACTTGATGACACCAAACCAGACGGCTCAGTACCTGCTATAATGGGGTATACATTGTGTCACTGTTTTCATACTGCTATGTAAATTGTATTGGACTCCACATAGCAGGGATTTGGTCTATTGTTTACAACTGTATGACTTGTAAATTCAGTTGTGCTGATTTGTTTCAGATAAGCAATTGTTAGGAAGATTAAATCATTTTAATAATTTCTAATAGTTAATTAGCTCACTACCTTTTTATCTCAAAAATACAATTCAAACCCAAAGATAAAAATGTAGTGCATAGTAAAATGTAACAACATGTTAATATGCAAACCAGCATTATTATCTAACCCTTGCCTCAAATGCTAAGATAGTTCTAAGTCCAAAACCTCCCTGCCATATTATTATATTGTTAAAGTAAATTTGTAACCTCCTAAGATAGTTTCCCTTTTTTCTACAATCTTGCTCTGGTAAACTAATAAATAGTAAAATAGGAAGAAAAACACTTTGTAGGATTTCTGGACTCCAAATGGTGGATGAAAAGCTAGACATTGATCAGATTATTCTGATCTTCTATAGTCATGAAGTTTGGCCAGATCTGACTGATCAACCACTTTGCCTTAACAGTTCTGTACCACTTCTGGAGAAAATACAAGATCATCATCTAGGTTTTGGCAACAGGGCATAATTAAAGTGAACCTTTGCCAAGACTATGCACGTAAAGTATTTACACATATCTGAACAAGCAGTAAAAGCAGTTTCAAACAGTCCCCCATTTGCCTCTTTATTTACAGGCATTTTAGAGAAATCCTAATTATACCAAACAACAAAAACGATTATGCAGGATAACCAGTACTCAACATTTTGCAAAAAAAAATAGTCACAAAATCCCTTGAAAAAAGGAAGCTTGCCTCATTCACCTCACTCACAGAGTATTTTTCTTTAATAAAGCAACCCCAATGTCTAACCTACCCAAACTGTGTTCAGTAGTGAACACATGATCTTTAATGGTATAACTACTGTATACTCTGGTCAATGGTCAATGCTTTACATGGCCAATACTTGACATCTGTGGCAAACTTCAAAAAATGCAGGATCTGGAAACTGGAAAGGATTATAAGCATGCCTAAGTGTGGTTATCTTGTGGTTGGATTTCCCATACTTGCTGTTCTGTATCTTAATGAATAACAATTAAATTAAGGATTTGTTTGCTGCAAATACATATGAACCTAAAACAACCTAATTGGACTACTAACCGGCCAGTGTATTGATATTGCAAAGTGAACATGTGGCCAGGTAAGAAACAGAAGCTACTATAAGATTTTCCTGAGGTGGTACATGGTGCCATTGAGAATAGTAACTTGTGTCACGGGAGCCTCCACACTATTCTTTTAGGGGATGTGGCCTGCAGAGTACAGAGTTTCATATGTGGTGGTCCTACCTGGAAGTGAGGAGGTTTTCATTTACTCTCTTACCCTGGTGAACCTTATCATATTGGGATGCCCAGTGGAGGAGTCTCAGGGACACACAATCAGACCAATAGCGTTTATCTTTGTAGCAGCCACAATCTCTATCGTCAGGTCTTTCCCAATATTCCATTTGAACTATTGAAGGCCAAACTCGCTTAGATTATGATAAATTAATGCCTTTTCGTACTTTTGAATGATAAATTGGTCTTCTTTGAAAAAATAAATCTGGGATTCCTGGATTAAACACATTTCGGATTCCTCTTGAGATGGATCTGATGGTCCATATTTTGGCTGGACAGGGCTCACTTTCTCCTCCTGTTTTCCTTTCCTACTACTTTCTCCTTGATTTTGTTATATGGCTTTTATTCCGACAATTACCACATAATGTGTAGTATGTGATGGATATAGGCTTGCACACAGTGGGCGTGAAGCCCAGATATCGTAGTAAAGTTATATGTATACCTTGTACTACCCTCACCCTTTAAATAAGTAGACTACAGGACAGACTATTTCTGCCACAATGCTGTTCCAATTTCAAAAACCCCCCCACACACACAATTGTGACACTTTCAAAGATGTAGTGTGTAGATTTATGCCTTTATACTCATGTTTCCTGCATTGTGTTATGAGGAAATCTGTATGCAATGGAAAACAATTTATTTTCTCTATAATCTTGTACTTTTGTATACATCTGGAGCATGCTTTTTGCTATATGTTTTATTGTTGGCTTCTGTACCTTTTATTAAAATAAAAACTATTGAAAAAAAAACCAGAAGCTTATTGAATTTGCAAATTCCAGGGCACTTTAATATTTAAATATTGATGAGTTTGTATATCACCATTGGCTCGCCACCATTATGGCTATTCTCTATTACCAATAGTAAGGCATGGAATAGAGGGAAGGAAAAAAAATACAGTTTAGCTTGCCCTTGATCAGATGTTTGATTACTATTTTTGTATTTTCCCTTACTGCAAACTTTGGTAAATTGGACACTTGGTTTAAACACAATTCGATAATATATTTTTTTACTGGAATTGTTGTGTAAAAATGTGTTTTAGAAGCAAAAGCTAAACTGATTTCTTATTTATTTGTTAATAGATTCATTCTTGCACGCAAATCAAGGAAACTGGCACATCTATCAAAAGATGAAAGGTAAACATTTCTATTAAAGATTTTGTGTTTGTGTGTGGCAAATATCAATTGCAGACATTTACTGTCATTTTATTGGGATAGTTTTTATTAAAATGTATTAATTATGCATATGATGTACAAATAAACAGAAAACAAACATCACCTTGTCATCTGCCATCAAAAGTACCAGTATTGTCAGGGTAGCAAAGTCCACTTAGAAGTTTTGAAAGTCACCAAGCCAGGTGAGACAATAACATGGAAGAATCCAGCAAAGGGCCACAATGCCCCTTCTGTCGTATTAAGAAACAGAAACCTTAGCTAAATATCACCAGCAATATACATTTTGGCAGCCATACATATTTAATCTATGCATGTTTTTTCCACTCTATTGTTTGGCCGAAAATAAACCTTAAGGCTAAAGTTGTACATCTTTTACCAATGCAATATATTATATTATACATATTCCATTCCAACAATTTATACCAAACAATGCTTCTTATTTCCCAAATCTTCTAAAACAAAAGTTAAAGGGGCTAGATAGGTATCGAAAAATATGTTTGATATGGCTTCTAAAAAGGGAACTTTGACAACTACCTTTTGGGTTTTGTGCCACAACATTTATTTTGTTCTATTTCTCTGTGAAAATTGGTTTCCCAATCTGTTTATTATTTGTTTGCTGGAGGATTAATAATTACTGAATATTAGTAAGGTTTATAAATACTGAATAATGGGATCAACAAGATGGTAGTGTTTAAAAATAAGATGTATATAATTTATGTTTTTTGCAAGAACCTTTTATAAAGGAAAGATATAATGGTTTTGTATGTTTTTTTATATTTTATGTCCATGACTGAAAAAAATATTTTTTGAAAATATATTTTATTTTTGTTTCAGGTTATTTTTTTTTTTTTTAATATTATGGAGTCTTTCTTGCTAACAGTCTGTAGTCTCCTTTTCACATATGCAATTTTATCATTAAATGTTGAAAAAGTTTGTTTGGGCAAAATAAAAAAAAAAACGTATGCAGGATATCTATGCACAATTCATGCATATTCTTGTATGTTTTGACAATTGAAACAAACACAGAAATTACAGCTGTTGATCTGCCAGAAATACAGTGAGCGGCTAAATTCCTGTAGTGAACTGACAATGTTATCACTGTGTTGTACTGTTAGTATCGCCCATTTATTTTTTGTGGAGCTACATAACACATCCCCCTTTCCTCATATCCATAACATAAAGGGGAGATGTTCTGCTATGCAACAGAAGAGATCTCCAGGAAATAATACTGCCTTTTAGTGCAGCACAGACAGCATTGTCACCTCACTACAAGAAGTAATGGGTCCACTGAAGTTAAGGCAGGATCAACAGATATTTTTTTCTGTACTTTCAGCATTTGTAAGAGACAAAATATAGGAAATAAGCATGATTTACAGAGATACACTATAATGTTTGCATGTTCACCAATTTCTGTCGTGCAACATGAGTTTTCACTTTTTTTTACAGTAAGCGGAAAATCAAATGTTAACTACAGAAAATAAAGTCAATAAGTTACTATAGACTACTTTACTTTGCAAATAGTTGTTATCCTTTGCATCTGCAAATTAAATAAGCTTAAATGTGTTGGCTCAACAATACAGTTTACACTCTGAACACAACATGTGTGGTTAAATGAAGTAACCCACGACAATTGCACTTATTAAATAATTCCATTTGTGAGTTCATTTGAGGTTTACTTGTGCTACTGAATTTTGCACATGATCATCTAAATAAGTGCAACTAAAAAATGGCTTGCTGCATTTACTTAAAAAAGTAAAGATGTGGGGTCCTCTGAATCCCAGCCAGGACAATATCTGCTTGAGATTTGCATGTCCTCCCTGTGCTCGTGTGGGTTTCCTTTCACACTGCAAAGCCATGCTGTTAGGCAGGGGCAGACTGACAACTCATGGGGCCCCCGGGCAATAGGGGATTATGGGGCCCCTGTGTCCTTGCCCAAACTCAAAAAAGCCTATGAAAAAAGTACCAGGGGCATCTCATTGGGCCCCCTACTGACCCTGGGCCCTCGGGCAGTGCCCGAGTTTCCAAATGGTCAGTCCGCCCCTGCTGTTAGGTTAAGTGACATATGTTTGCAAGCTAGAAACCTTAGATTGTAATCTCCTTAATGGCAGGGACTAATATGAGGGTATGTAAGGAGTTGTGAAAAAATGTAAATATATATACAGTATATATAAATGCTATATAAATGCTTGTACGGTTTGCTAACACATCATAACAATCTAAATTTTTATGACACCTAATTGTAGTTTTCCTAACTAAATATCTTTAATGGATGGAAATGGACATTTTGGTAACTTATGGTTTATATTGTAATCTATTTAAAAGGTGAATGAAAATACTGCCCTATTTTTTATAAGTGAAACAAACCAATTTTTTTAGAGTTTATATATTGCAGTTTTCACTTATCCAATGAATTCATTCTTGGGATACTAAAAACTTAATTTCAATGCATATGACTTCAATGGGTTACCAGCATATGTACAAGCAAAAAAGAGACATTTGTTTCTTGTTTGTTTGCTAAAAGCTGTGTAGTGTACTGTTTGGCTACAAATGTTAGCCTTTTGAGGACATAACTTTCCATGTAGTCATTAAAGTGTATTAAAGTCAAAACTTAAAAAAAGAAAAAATAGTATAGTAGGGGAAGGGTAAAATGGTAAAACCTCACAAAAAGCTCCCTGCTGGGGAGACCTACCGTCATTTCCTGATATCAAAAGGAAATTAGATAAAATTTCTCCAAAATGAATGGAATTTCCACCTTAGTGATTTGTCAGAGGAACTATAAATGTTCCCTAACTTTTTGCTCTTGATTTCTCTTCACTTTCTGTTTCAGTGATAATGGTCATTAGGACAACAAAAAAAATTGCCTTTACATACACTTTAGGATCCCTTTACATATGTATATATTGTTTGTCACACTTAAATGATTCAGATAATCAAATAAATATAAGTGATGATATCATTTATTAAGGGAAAATATCTGTCCAAACCTGTCTGGCCCTATGTGAAAAGTAATTGATGGCCAGACATTCTCCTTCAGGATTTTCTGGAAGAGTGCAGAATTCAGGGTTCCATCAATTATGGCATGTCGTCCAAGGCCTGAAGCTGCAAAGCAACCCTAGACCATCCCACTACCACTACCATGTTTGATTGTTGGTATGATGTTCTTTTTATGAAATGCTGTGTTAGTTTTACACTTAATGTAATGGTACTAACACCTTCCAAAAAGTTCAACTTTTGTCTCATCAGTCCACAAAATATTTGCCCAAAAGTCTTGGGGATAATCAAAATGTTTTTGGCAAATGTGAGACAAGCCTTTGTGTTCTTTTTGGTCAGCAGTGACTATTGGCTTGGAACTCTCCTGTGGATGCCATTTTTACCCAATCTCTTTCTTATTGTTGAATCATAAACACTGACCTTAACTGAGGCAAGTGAGGCCTGCAGTTACATAGATGTTGTTCTGGGTTCTTTTATGACCTCCTGGTGAGTCATTGTTGTGCTCTTGAAGTAATTTTGGAAGGCCAGCCACTCCTGGGAAGGTTCACCTCTGTTCCATGTTTTCTCCATTTGTGGATAATGTCTCTCACTGTGGTTCACTGGAGTTCCAAAGCCTTAGAAATGGCTTTGTAACCCTTTCCAGACAGATACATGTCAATTACTTTGATTCACGTCTGATCCTGAATTTGTTTAGATCGAGGCATGATGTGTTCTATCGTTAGATCTGTTAGCATGCTTCACTTTGTCAGACTGCTTCTATTTAAGTGATTTCTTGATTCAGCAGGTCTGGCAGTAATCAGGCATGGGGGGACAAGTGAAATTTAATTCAGCTTTCCAAAACGTCATTAATCACAGTTCATTTATGATTTAGAGAGAGGGGGGGCAAATACTTGGTCAGGCAGGTTTGGACACCTTTTTTTCCTTACGTGAAATCATCTTTTAAAAACTGCATTTTGTATTTACACAGGTTATTTTTGTGTAATAAAATTTGTTTGATGATCTGAATCATTTAAGTGTGACAAATATGCGGGGGAAAAATCAGGAAGGTGGCAAATACTTTTTCACAGCACTGTGGTTATATATATATATATATATATATATATACACACACACACTATATGTGCTGTCCTACTTACTAGATAACAAAACTGACAGACACAGCGTTGTGTTTCATTCCAAAACTGACTTCTGTGAATAGTTCTGTAAAACTGTATTACAATCACATAAACTGAAGGTATGCTTGTACACATGCCTGTACACATGTCTGTCTTACAAATGCATACAATGAACACATTTCTTGCAAACAGCTACCTACAAATCAGATTTAATACATTGAAATAAGACCTAGCTATGTATGTGACTTTAGCAAACACAATGAAAGAACTTACAGGCATATGTGTATCAAAGGAAGAATTGAGGAGACATTCACTTGTGTTCTTCTGGAAGCTGAAATGGCTGCAGTGGTTTATGGAAACTCTTTATTTTTTAACAAACATGAGACACTTACTGTTCATTACTGACAAGGGTGCAATTGCAGTCAACGCCCAATAAATGGTTCCCTACTTAACACAATTATGAAATAAAGAACACTGATATATATATACATACAGTTGTGCTCAAAAGTTTGCATACCTGACAGAAATTGTGACATTTTGGCATTGATATTGAAAATATGACTGATCATGCCAAAAAAATGCTCTTTTATTGAAGGATGATAATCGTATGTGGCCATTTATTATCAAACAGTTGTTTGGCTCCTTTTTAAATCATAATAATGACAGAAATCACCCAAATGGCCACGATCAAAAGTTTACATACGTGGAATGTTTGGCCTTGGTACAGACACAAGGTGACACCACACGGGTTAAAATGCCAATTAGAGGTTAATGTCCCACATCTGTGGCTTTTTAAATTGCAATTAGTGTCAGTGTATAAATAGTCAATGAGTTTGTTAGCTCTTGTAATGTATGGCATGTATGATATCTATGAAGAAATTAAATGGAACTTAAGTCAAAATAGAATTGTTACTTTCCCTAAAACATTGGATGCATTTCATGCAAACAGGTATCTGCTGTGTAATTTTGTTAACAAAAATTTGTCAAATCTTTTTGTAGAAAGAGAAAAATCTGTGAGTTGTATGCAAAAGTTCTGGATTCAGAAGAAGCTCTACATGTAAGCTAAAAGTCTACATTTAAATGATCATAAATTCATTAAATTTAAACATTATTATATTACAAAATCAGTTTTCGAAGAAAATATTGTGGGGGGAGGGAAAGGTGTTTTCCCACCTGAGTCCAGGCTGCATGTAGCCTGGTAAAGAATGCTTATAAACTCTACATCACTAACAGCTGAATTATGACTATGAGGTTAATGAGCAATAGCAGCCATTTGTTCTTTAAAACTTCTATTATACGTAATGTTTCTCCCCACAGTATTTGACCGGTCACCTGATATCATGGGATCTTTTTCTCCCCTCCTAGGCCCTGGTCAATCATGAATTTTGCAGAGAACACACACATGCAAAGACTTGAGCACTATTCCCTACAGACCTGGGCAGATTAATTGCACACCCCCTGGGAGTGGGTCATTGATGTCCTGAGCTTACTGGAAGGGGGTTCAATGAAGGCAGGGGTGATGCAACCCATAAAAAGGGGCTGGTGTAGGGCTAATAAATAGATATATTAAGCTGAGCCTGAAATTGGGCTTAAATTATTTGACATTTTTTACATGTTTTCTGTGAGAGATTGCAGAAACTTTCAAGTAGTTGAAACAGTTGGGCTGGCCCACTGCATGTATTTTCAATCTGCTACTGCAAAAAAAACTAAAAAAAACAGGATATGTCATGCTGATTGCTGAATGGAAGTGCTAAAGATAAAGGGCCCATGAAGTTTTGACTTCTGAGGACTGGTATTTCTACCATTATCTTTCAGGCTTGTCTTCCTTTTTCTTCCGCTCCTAGATGGAGTTGTTGAGCCAATATCAAGACTGGCGTGCCAAGGGGCATTTACATCAAATATAGATCACACACATTTATTGTATTCTATCACTAAGGAATCAGGGTTCAGGCAGGTAACAATCAACCCATTATTATTATTATTATTATTATTATTATTATTACTACGAGTTTATATAGCGCCAAAGGGTTTGCTCAGCGCTGTACAATAGGGGGGACAATACATGGCACAGTACAACAACAACAAACAACGTACGAGGGGTAAGAGGGCCCTACTCTTACGAGCTTACAATCTAGGAGGGAGGGGGTAAAGGTACAGTAGGAAGTGGCTGAGGGGGATGAAGTGGTGGGAGGAAATGAGGGAGGATGGCCATTAGGTGAGGGTGGGGTAGGCTTCCCTGAAGAGATGGGTTTTGAGGGAGCGCCTGAATGTGAATAGGGAAGGCGACAGTCTGATGGATTGGGGCAGTGAGTTCCAGAGGATGGGGGAGGACCTGGAGAAGTCCTGCAGTCGTGCATGGGAGGAGGAGACCAGGGAGCAGGATAGAAGGAGGTCCTGTGAGGAGCGAAGGGTACGGGTAGGGTGGTACTTGGTGATCAGGTTGGTGAGGTAGTCAGGGGCAGTGTTGTGAACGGCTTTGTAGGTCAGGGTTAGGAGTTTAAATTTGATGCGTTGGGCAATCGGGAGCCAGTGGAGGGAGAGGCAGAGGGGGGTGGCAGAGGTGGAGCGGGTGGTGAGGTGGATGAGTCTGGCAGCTGAGTTCAGGATGGTCTGGAGCGGGGAGAGCCTGCACTTGGGTAGGCCAGTGAGGAGGGAGTTGCAGTAGTCAAGGCGTGAGATGATGAGGGAGTGTACTAGAAGTTTGGTGGTGTCTGGGGTGAGGAAGGAGCGTATCTTGGCAATGTTGCGAAGATGGAGCCTGCATGTGTTTGTGAGTGATTTGACATGCGGTTGGAGGGAGAGGTTCGCGTCAAGAATGACGCCAAGGACTTTGGCTTGCGGGGTGGGAGTGATAGTGGAGTGGAGTTGTTGGTGATGATGGATAGGATGGGGGGGGGGGGTGTGGGCAGGGGGAAAGATGAGGAGAGCTCGGTTTTGGAGAGGTTGAGCTTGAGGAAATGTAGCGACATCCAGTCTGAGATGTCATTTAGGAGGTGAGTGATGCGGGCGGAGATAGTGGGGGTGAGGTGAGGGGTGGAGAGGTAGATTTGGGTGTCGTCAGCATAGAGGTGATAGTTGAAGCCGTGAGATTGTATGAGTTTGCCCAGGGAGGAGGTGTAGATGGAGAAGAGAAGGGGTCCAAGGACAGAGCCTTGGGGGACCCCAACAACAGAGGGGGGGGAGGGGGAGGTGGCACCATTGTAGGTGACACTGAAGGAGCGTCGGGATAGGTAGGATGAGAACCAAGAGAGAGCAGTATCTCCGATGCCAAGGGAGAGTAGTTTATTAAGGAGGAGGGGGTGGTCAACTGTGTCGAAGGCCGCAGAGAGGTCCAGGAGAAGGAGGACAGAGTAGTCGCCCTTGGCTTTGGCGTTGAGTAGGTCGTTAGTGATTTTGAGGAGGGCAGTTTCAGTGGAGTGTAGGGGACGGAAGCCGGACTGTAGAGGGTCAAGGAGGTTATTGTCTGTAAGGTGGGCGCTTAGGCGATCGTAGACTATGCGTTCAAGGAGCTTGGAGGTGAGTGGCAGCAGGGAGATGGGTCTGAGGTTGTTGGGGTCCGCGGGATCCAGGGAGGGCTTTTTGAGGATGGGGGTGATATGCGCGTGCTTTAGGGGGGAGGGGAATACGCCAGTAGAGAGGGAGAGATTGAAGATGTGGGTGAGGGAGCGGATGAGGGAAGAGGGGGGTGACCGGAGGAGTTGAGAGGTGATAGGGTCCAGGGGGGCAGGTAGTGAGGCGGGCTTTTGAGAGGACTTTAGCGACTTCCTCAGTAGTGACAGGGCTGAGGGAGTGCAGTACGGGGGGGTTATGGTGGGCGGGGCATTGGGAGAGGAGGGGGGGGCAGTGCGGTTGTTGAGGAGGGCAGAGGAGGGGGGAGATGAAGGGGTGACGGGGGGTGGAGGCTAGGTGGGGAGGTAGATTGCAAGTTGACGATGTCCTTACGGATAGCGTCAATCTTGTTGTGGAAATGGGTGGCAATCTCGTGGGCGGTGAGAGAGGTACTGACTGAGTGGAGGGGGGGGGGGGGAGAGCAGGGAGTTGAAGGTGGAGAAGAGTCGGCGGGGGCAGGAGGAGAGGAGGTGTTTATTAGGTTAACAAAGTAGACCTGCTTGGCGGCGTGGAGGGAGGAGGTGTAGATAAGAAATGCAGATTTGTAGAGGGAGAAAGTATGAGGGGACCTGCTTTTGCGCCACAGTCTCTCCAGTGCGCGACTGCGACGTTTGAGGCGTTTAGTGCTGTCGGTCTGCCAGGGTTGAAGCGGTCTGGGTTTGATGATGCGTGTGGTTAGGGGTGCCAGAGAGTCTAGGGCAGCTGACAGTGAGTCATTGTACAAGGTGGTGGCTATGTCAGGACATGACAGTGGGAGGATGCTGTCGTGTAGGCAGTCGGCGGCAGAGTGGTGGGGGGGGCCGGGTTCAGGTTGCGGAGGTTGCGGCTGGTGATGGTTTGGCGTTTTTGAGGGGGGGGAGTTGGGGGGGGAGGGGAGATGGAGAAGGTGAGTGAGGAGGTGGTGGTCGGAGAGAGGGAAGGGGGTGTTCGAGAACTGGTTGAGGGTACAGAGGTGGGAGAAGACGAGGTCCAGGGTGTTCCCTCCGAAGTGGGTGGAGGATTGAGTGTGCTGTGTGAGCGCGAAGGAGGAGGTTAGGTGGGGGAATTGGGAAGTAGCCGGGGTGTGTTGTCGTTGATGGGGATGTTGAAGTCCCCGAGGATGATGGTCGGTAGCTCAGAGGAGAGGAAGAAGGGGAGCCAGGCGGCGAAGTCATCCAGGAAGCAGGCTATGGATCCGGGAGGCCTGTAGATCACTGCGGGGGGGGGGTGAGTAGAGGTGCAGTGCACTGCGGGGAGGAAAGGGGGGGGTGGGGTGGAGGAAGAGTCGGATGCAGTGCGCGGTTGAAGGAGGGGAAAGAAAGAGAGGGGGGGGCTCTGGAGGACCTGAAGGGGGGGAGGAGGCGGTGCGATTTAAGTGGGATGTCGAGCGGAGGGGTGGATCAGGCGGCGAGCATCAGGAGGGTGAGAAGAAGGGGCAGTGCTCACCGCCTCAAAGGAGGGGAAGGAAAGAGAGGGTGGGTTAGGGAGGACCTGGGAAGGTGGCTAAGCGGTGATAGGAGCAAGCCGACACCACCACCTCTGCGATCGCTCAGTCTTGGTGAATGGGTCCAGATGAGACCTCCATGGGTGAGTGCCGCAGGGGAAGTGGAGTCATTGGCCTGTACCCAGGTTTCGGTGACTGCTAGGAGCTTGAGGGAGCGGGAGATAAAGAGGTCATGGATGGCGGTAAGCTTATTGCAAACCGAACGGGCATTCAGGAGTGGCAACCGAGAGAGGGGGGATAGATATGGGGAGGAGGGGTACATGTATGAGGTTGAGGGGGTCGCGTCGGTTGGCGTGAGCAGGGGGGGGCTCTAGGGGGGGTGTGAGGTGGTGAGGGGCCACGGTTTGGGGAGATGTCCCCAGCTGATATGAGAAGGAGGAGGGTGAGGAAGGTGGCGTGGGAACGGGAGGTGTAGGAGCGCTTGGGTCTGAAAGTGGTGGCAAGTGGCAAGTCAGCGGGGAAAGTGGAGTAGCAGGAGGAGGTGGTGGGTGCCATAGTGGGGAGAGGGGAGAAGTGAGGGGGCGATATAGAGCTGCTTAGCGGGGGTGGGTGGGTAGAGGAAGGCGGTTTTAGGGATGGAGGAGGAGAGGAGGACAAGGAGGAGGAGAGCGGGGCGGCATGTTGGGGTGAGCGGGGGCAGGAGGGTCAGGGTGGGTGAGGGGGGTGCTGGTCAGGGATGGAGCAGTGTCCGAAACGCAGTGGGAGGTGGCTGGTAGTCCCAGGTGGGTGGAGGGCAGGGGATCCCTGGTGGGATGGTGGCCGGCATCCCTGGATGGGTTAGTAGCGATCCCTGGGGGATAGTGAAAAGGGCAGGTGGTTAGGGTTTCCGGTGGGTGGTGGGATCCCAGGTGGGGTGGAGGGCAGGGTCCCTGGTGGGATGGTGGGGTGGCTATCCCTGGTGGGGTGGTAGCGATCCCTGGTGGGATGTGGTGGTTAAGGGTAGCCCTGGTGGTTAGGGTCCCTGGAGGGGTTTTGAGGTTCCCTGGGGGATGGTTAGGGTCCCCTGGTGGCTGGTAGTCGGTGGGGATGGTGGGGGTGGTTGGGTGCTATCCCTGATGGGTAGTGGGTGCCCCTGGTGGTGGAGTACCTGATGTCCTGGAGCGTCGGGGTGGAGGTGGATCCCCTCCTATGTTAGGAGGACCGTTGGTGGTGGTGGTGGTAGTTTCCCCGGAGGAGCGGAGGCGTCCCGCTGCGATTCCAGCCACGGCCGGCAGGAAACACCGCGGCTTCGGGTGCCGTGGTAGGCCTCAAGCCGTTCGGACCGCCGGAGCTCTCCGCTGGAGGGACGGAGTGTCTGTGTCCCCTTCAGGGTGTTTGTGGGGACAAGCCGGCCATAGACTTGAACCTGCTGAACCGGCCCAGATTTGAACCATGTATGGGCAGGCTGAATGTACCAAAGTTAATCAATCAACTTGGGTACAATCAGCCTTTCGGATTTGCCATGTGATTATTGCTACTAATATAACCACTAGCAGTAATCATTGTTCTCCTGGCGGGGGCAGCTCCACCTGCTGGGGGAACACAATGGCTCCATGGGAGGGATTCGCCCATCAACATTGACTGTGCTGATGGGGGAATTGAGTATTTTTCTTTCCTGCAGCCCATAATTGCAGGAAAGAAAATTGCTCCATCTTATGTCTTAGGACACAGTATTTTGAGACCTGTGTGAAATATTGAGACCAGGGTGTGGCCATTTCCTCTGTATTGTGGATATTTGAACAACTCTTTACTTTACTGATAACAGCTCTCACCTATTCATTTCAAATGGAATGATTGGATCTTGGTCACAGAGATTTTCCAGGATGCTTAAGATTGTTCTAAACTTAACCCTTGAAATAGCAGTATTATTTCAGTTTTTTTTTTCTAGTTTGCTAACTGTATAATTCAGGTATGAATTGTGAATATTTCACTAGCCCGTGCATTATGAAGAAAAAAACTGGTGTGAAGAGCAGTATTCGGGGGGCTGCTACACAGCTTATTTCCCACCAGGAATCTTGACCCAGTATGGAAGGTAAGTTATAATATATTATTTAAATATTACAAAACAGATATTAAAAAAATCCAAATTCCATGTGCCCAGTTTATACCATTTATCTCAATGCTCCATTGATCTACAATTGGCATAAACATAGGAACTGTGCATGGCTAGTGCACCTCCTCAGCCACTTGGACCATATTCACAGGAATTTAGAGCCATGATTTCCTCCTGAGATGGCCATGTTGGAGAAGCATGGAGAGCATTTACCCATGTCCCCCTCCCCCCTTTTTTTTCTCTTCTGGTTTCATGGCGCGCATGGGCTTTATTTTGCCTACTTCTCTTGTTTCTTGGTGCTTTTTGTAATGTATTCAATGTGTTCTGATATATGTTTTTACAGCGCTGTGTGGTGGATTAATTCCTCGCATGATCTTTGCAAATGTTCTCCTTTTTTGTCTTTGTCCTTTGACACATTTAAAACTAAAACTAGCAAATCTAGATTGAACTAAAAAGCTTTAAAAAAATGTTTATTATTTATTTCAGGTACTTATATAGCACTGTCAATTTATGCAGCACTTTACACATATATATATTGTACATTCACATCAGTCCCTAACCCTCAAGGGGTGTACAGTCTAAGGTCCCTAAACTCACATTCATACATACACGGGACAATTTAGACAGGATCCAGTTAGCCTACCAGCATGTCATTGGAGTGTTGGAGGAAACCGGAGTACCCAGAGCAAACCCATGCAGGCACAGGGAGAACATGCAAACTCCAGGCAGGTGGTGCCATAGCTGGGATTCAAACCAACAACCCTAGTGCTGCCAGGTGGAAGTGCTAACCACTTAGCCACTGTGCTGCCCAGACTAGAACGCTTTACTAATTATTGTTTTACACACTCAACAATGTCAACATTGCTTCTCTTAGGCCCCCCCCCAGGGGTAGTCCAATTGGGTCCACTTGTCTTATTTTTCAAATGGACCTGTTTAGAACCTCCATATTAGTCTATGGACTGCCAGTTGTAAAAAGACTTGTGTCCATTTAATTTTGATTACCTTTGAGTCTAACCAGGTCAGAAAAAAACGCAGAAAAGGTCTGCATCTTTTTCCATTTTTTTTTACCCAAACATGGTGGATTAGAGGTAACTGAATGTAAATGGATGCAAATTAGTTTATATTTGGATGCCCATAAATCTAATATAGTCAGGAAAGCTCTAGTTTTTAAATGCAGCAAAAAAATTCAACAGACACAGATATCAAAGTGACATCCATTCTGTTCTACTCTGATTCAGCAGGGAATCTGTACTGGATCCACTGCTGATCAGATCGGACATGGCCATATGTGAAATGAATCTTAGATCTGAAGTAAAATATAACAGCCCAGTGAATGGTGTGCTTCAGTTTGATCCATGTGCATTTCTAACCATTTTATAGGGTTCTTCGGCAACCTTTTGGTCGGCTCTACTTTGCTGGCACAGAGACTGCTACAGAATGGAGTGGCTATCTTGAGGGAGCAATACAAGCAGGAGAGAGGGCTGTCAGAGAGGCAAGTGATATTGTAATATCAAAGTAATGTTTTATATATTTACTTTGGAATATGTGATTTACAATAAATTACATTTTTGTGGCAATATAAATGTACAGTGCTTATTCAAATGTAATAGATTCATATTTAAGAAGCAAAAAAAACATTTTAAATTAAATAAATGTGTGTGTTATAATCAATAGAGAAGAAGTCAGTTTGAAGCAATGTTTTGGTTAGTTCTGGTGTACATGATGGCAAAATTCTTTATTTTATATTTGGTGTCATATTCTAGATCTTATTTACCTTGGGCAGAATTCCAGAAAGTGATATATGGATGCCAGAACCACAGTCTTTGGTAAGAACAATATCTATATACCATCTGTATCATTTAATTTAGTTCAGCACAGTGGGCTAAGTGCAAAGAAATGTTTTATTGTCAATGCCCTATGTTTTATCCCTTTGGTTTATATTACTTTGTTATTACCAAAATACAGTATATCCATTTGTTGAAAGATGCATTGCTGTGTTATTCACTGTGAGAGGTCTATAGTGAGTTGGAAGACAAAGGGGGGATTTAATAAAAAGATGAAATTTGCTGATGTTAAAGCAGAACTACGGTAAAGAAACGTTAGGTCTGGAAGAAGCAGCAAAATGAGCCAATCAGGTGTGTTACTGCAATAAGCATGCTGATAGGAAGAAAGAGCTGACTGACAGACAGATGAACTTTTCAAAGTGGCAAATCTACTTTCACTGTCCATTCACAGAATGGGGGTGGAAAGGAGACCTATCAGGGAAAGTGAAACTACACCAGAGGAAAATCAGGTCCCCTGTCTTACCAGACAGGGCTGTGTAAATCTCAGAAATTAATGGACAGAAATACAATGCATTTTAGCAGTTCAAATAACTCCCATATACTGTATTTACAGTATATCATCTTTCTATATATTGTAGCTGTTTGCCTGGAGTTTAGCTTTAGGGGCTGCATCCATAGGCTTTTGTTCATGTGCGAACTGCTTCTCTTCCCATACAAATCAAAAAGAATGCAAAAACAGCTTGAGGAAGGCTGTTACAACTTAGAATGAAGTCAAATGCAGATCAGAAGGAGGTCAGCTGCAGTTCACATGCACATTTCAATGAATTGTGAATGAATTCAGAAGTATATCATACTGATGAAAAATGTAATCCAAATGAGCCTGAAAGTGAGCTGCATCTGCCATTTAAAACAAGTCCAACTATTGTGTATAGCATTTGTTACAGTACATATTTCCACTTGTTGAAAAATACTGTTCACTACAGATTATTTAACATTTATGGGTCATCCAAACAAAGAGATGGAAATTCTAACCAACATGAATAGCAATACACGTGAAGGAGCTTTTACCCCTCTGTGGTCTAGCTAAAACTAAAACCTAAGTTTAGGATGGAATAAAAATCTAAGCATGTATTTTCTATTTACAGTACAATTTAATTTCATAATATAAAGTGTGTCGCCCAAAGTGAGAAATTCCAACCAACATGGACAGACAGCAATACACACGTGAATGAGGTTTTAACCCTTCCGCACTCTAGATAAAGCTAAAACTTAAGTTTAGGATTGAAAAAAAATGTAAGCATATGGTATTTTCTACGTATAGTATTTTATTATTATTATTATACAGTATTTATATAGTGCCAACAGTTTGCTTAGCGCTGTATATTACAATGGGAGACAGTACACAAGACAGTACAGTAACAATACTATACAATACAGGAGGGGTTCGAGGGCCCTGCTCTTGGAGCTTACAATCTAGGAGGGAAGGGATAGTGGTACAGGAGGAAATAGCTGTGGGGGATGGAGTGGTAGGAAGAGTGGAGGAGATCGGCAATTAGGTGAGGGTGGGGTAGGCTTCCCTGAAGAGATGGGTTTTCAGTGTGTGCCTAAATGTGAGGAGGGGAGGTGACAGTCTGATGGATTGGGGTAGTGAATTCCAGAGGATGGGGGAAGCCCTGGAGAAGTCCTGGAGACAGGCATGGGAGGAGGAGACCAGGGAACTAGAGAGTAGGAGGTCTTGTGAGGAGCGGAGAGTACGTTTTGGGTGGTATTTGGATATCAGATCGGTGATGTAGTTTGGGGCAGTGTTATGAACAGCTTTGTATGTCAATGTTAGCAATTTGAATTTTATAGACAATAAACTAAGGGGAGCTAAAAGCAACAATAAAATGCAATAAATAATATAAATCGTAGCCATATATAGTGAGCAGTATAGAATGGACCAAGTATAAAGAAAGCACTCAATGACGCTGAGATCATAGGTGCCCACGTATGTAGATACGTCCAAAGTGCATGTAGTGATAATGGTGACAAAGTCAATCTCTCTGAAATCAATACAGCATGGTGAAGAAATCAGTGACTCCTGTGGTTGTGGGAAATAAGCGTTGATTGCATTAACCAGATAGCTCAAATTATTGGGACCTACTCCTGGTCATCTGGATCTGGAACACTGTACCATCAGGGTCATCAGATCAGCAGCATGCAGGTAAGCCACATCAGAGGGGGATAGCTCATCTCCGGGTATTCAGTCATCAGCCACCAGGGGGATCATACACGTTCACACATGCCCGATCAGCAGGAGTACCTTAGAAGAGGGGGGGGGCTCGCAGAACAAACCCAGCCCATAAGAAGAAGTCTTCAATAGTGTAGTATTTATTGATACAGTATTAATCAAAAACAGATGAATGAACTTACATCAAAAAAATTTCCAAGATGGATGCTGGCCGTTCAGAGAAGCTGTGCAGAATGTGGTCAACGCTAGGGGGCACCTCCTTAACGCGTTTCGTGTAAAAACACTTTTTCAAAAGGGAGTGTGCCAGTATAAATCTCCTTCTGTTTATATCGTATGACGCGCATGCACTGTCTAACACAACAGGCAGATCTATGATATACAATATACTATCACATGCAACAGTACACGTGATCTACCTTTTAGAATGTTCATGCGGCAAGCAGTACGTTGGTAGAACAACCAGAATATTGGGAGATCGACTGCGTGAACATCTGCAGAACATTAAAAAAGGTTTCAAGGATCATTCCCTGTCTATGCATTTCCACCAGACACACAATAGAAACCCACATTCCCTGAAATTCACAGGGATTGACATAATAAAGAAACATTGGAGAGGGACGTATAAACAGAGATCAGTATCCATGTTAGAAACCAAATGGATATCCCCCTCTGATGTGGCTGATGTGGCTTACCTGGATGATGCTGATCTGATGACCCTGGTGGTACAGTGTTCCAGATCCAGATGATCAGGAGTAGGTCCCATATGTACTCCAATGCGCAATAATTTGCGCTATCTGGTTAGTATCTATATATATGAAAATAGTGGGCACCTATGATCTCAGCGTCATTGAGTGCTTTCTTTATATTTGGTCCATTCTATACTGCTCACTATATATGGCTACGATTTATATTATTTATTGCATTTTATTTGTTGCTTTTAGCGCTGCATAGTTTATTGTCTATATATTTATGAAGAGGTTCCAGAGGTTTACCTTTTTTGCAAGCAGCTTTTATGTGCATCCATTTACCCAGCGCTCATTTAATTTTATATCATTTGAATTTTATCCGTTGGGCAATTGGAAGCCAGTGCAGGGATTGGCAGAGAGGGGTGGCAGTTGTGGAGCAGTTAGTAAGCTGGATGAATCTGGCCGCAGAATTCAGGATAGACTGAAGCGGGGATAGTCTGTGATGAGGTAAGCCAGTGAGGAGGGAGTTACAGTAGTGAAGTCGTGATATTATAAGGGAGTGAATGAGTTGCTTAGTAGTTTCCGGGGTTAGGAACGGACGTATTTTGGAGATGTTGTGGAGGTGAAGTCTACATGAATTTGTCAGCGATTGGACCTGGGGCTGGAAGGACAGATTGGAGTTTAGAATGACACCTAGTACTCTGGCTTGCGGGGTGTGGCTGATGGTGGCGTTGTTGGTCGTGATGGAGAAGTCGGGGGGGGGCGCGCAGGGGGGAAAACTAGGAACTCAGTTTTGAAAAGGTTTAGGTTGAGGAAGTGGAGTGACATCCAGTCCGATATGTCGTTCAGTAGGCTAGTGATTCGGGCGGAGACTGAAGGGGTGAGGCGAGGGGTAGAGAGATAGATTTGCGTGTCATCGCCATAGAGATGGTAGTTGAATCTGTGGTAGTGTATCAGCTGGCCAAGGGAGGAGGTGTAGATGGAGAAGAGAAGGGGCCTGAGGACAGAACCTTGAGGGACCCCAACAGAGAGGGGGAGTGAGGGGGAGTGTGGCAGCGTTATAGGTAACACTGAAGGAGCGCTGTGATAGATAGGAAGAGAGCCAGGAGAGAGCGGAGTCTCTGAGGCCAAGAGAGTGTAGTTTTTTGAGGAGGAGGGGGTGGTCGACCATGTTGAAAGCCGCGGAGAGGCCGAGGAGTAGGAGCACTGAGTAGTGGCCATTAGCTTTGGCGGTTAGCAGGTCGTTGGTGAGTTTGAGTACAATGTTATTTCATAATATAAAGTTTGTAAAATAGTATGATCCTTTTTTTTTTTTTTTTGTAGGATATTCCAGCCCTACCAATAACAACTACCTTTTGGGAAAGAAATATACCATCAGTGCCAGGCTTACTAAAGCTTCTTGGATTTTCATCGTTGCTTACATCAACAGCTGCTTTAGGTCTGATGCTTTATAGAAAAAGGCCTTCTCTTTCGGAATTAACATTGATTAGCAATCCAGATTCCAGTATATACTCGCTTTCAAATTTGTGAAATATTTCCACATTAAGACGTAATTGCGTGAATGTAAAGTGTTATTTTATATTTAAAACACCCCTGGTGTTTTTATGACTGTGATGTTTAAGTTTTTTAAAAAGAATATATTTAATTTACTGAATATGATATTAACTGTAGTTGGCCATTCTCAATTTTATAATAGATTTTTTTTTTCTTATTTTTAATACTGATTTTATAAGTTATACTTGGCATAACCGTTTAGAGAAAACTGAAAAGCTACCTTATTATATTAGAAAACATATGTGAATTACTAAATGGTTAACTTTCTATTAACAAAATATATATTACCTCAGGATACATAATGGATCATTATACCTCTTTATGTGATACCTAGATAATGTTTGGTGATGTTTTTTAAAGTAAACCTGTCATTTTTGTTAGCTTTTAAAACAGAAAATCTTACAAGTAACACAAGGTGCCTGCTGTTACCTTTATTAAACCTGACAATATACTGGAAAAACTGGGAAGGAGACTTCAGTTTGTACGTCTCAGCTCATTCCAAGGCACTGCTGCTGCCACATCCTCTATTACAAGACACTGAAAGATAGCTCAATCCCTAACATGAAAAAACTAATAGGACTTTAAAGGTAGAACACCCAAAAAAAAAAAAAAAAATAAACATTCACATTTTTATTGTACAAAACATAAAAAAATATTAAAATATGAATGCCAAATCTCAAGATGTTGTTTCAAAACAGTTGCAGTTACATATCTGCCAGTGTTGGTGGCTGTATTACAACTTGATCATACAGAAGATCTCACATACATATCTTCATATTAGACATTTTTCGCAGGACAAAGCCTGCTTCCACGGGGAGAAATGGCATATAACTCTGTGGTTACAAAGTCAGAATGAGTACCAATGCATGTAAAACAGTACATTATACATTTAGTGGCATCTACACATATAGATTATACTATGTTATGTCAGTAAGTAGGTAATGTATGTGAGAGCTTCTTTATGATCAACTTGTGATTTAGTCACCAACACTGGCATGATATGTAACTGCAACTGTTTTGAAACATCATCTGAATATTTGGCATTCATATTTTAATCTTAATTTTTGTAATGTTTTGTACAATACAAACGTGTATTTTTATTTTTAAATCCTTTTGGATGCTGTAACTTTAAAATCCAATTAGTTTTTTCATGTTATGGACTGAGCTATCTTTCATTTTATTAAACCTGACTCTACTATCTTTGGGAATAAGTCCTGGCCCTTGAACAAAGCCAAATCTTTTTGTCAAGTCAGTGCCTATAGGCACCCTCTTTAGATGGAAGGGGAGTGGCAGGGCAGACCTCCAGAGATGGGGCTGTATTTGACAGAGTGTACCCCAGCACTCTATGGGGGTAGAGTAGAGGGTTTCAGACTGATAAATGTACAGCTTGCAATTTGTGATGCTTGTTCTTAGGTGGGTCTGAGTTTTAATACTTAAAAAGGTGGACTGGTTTGTTTAAGGAAGCCAAAGTGAAGTCACAGATATAAATATGCAGTCATATAGGTATTATAGTAACAATTTCTGTTTTCACAGTTTTACCTCCACTTACCTCTCACAGTAGTTGCATAGGATTTCTAAATATCACTGTGCAGGCCAATAGGTACCAGAGTTAGACCTACTGTACTCAGAAATCAGCATTCAGCAACATTGACAGGAAAAAGTATTCTAAGGCATTTCCAAGCACAAATCTTTGTAGAGGTATGGGACTATACATTAATGTGATAACAGGGTGTGAGAATAAAAATGGGCTTTAAAGAGAATTTATTTTCATTTTAGCAATCCTACTCTACTTTACAAGTAAATGGTAATTAATGCTATGAAAACATGACCTTTCCTTGAGAAAACATGTCATATGGGCTCTGCCAAAAAATAGAGGAACTAACATTAGGACAGAACTGTTTGTTGATCACTGATCCTTCCTAACAGTGAACACCATGTGACCAGTTACTCGGTATTAGATACATGACTAGCCAACAGAGGGCATATAGAGTTCCTTTTACCCAAAGAAAGGCATGTTTTTTTTTTTTCACAGTTACTGTTACTTGTACAGTAAAGCTATTTAGTTTAGAAGCAATTCTGAGTGTAGGCCCGTGTTAATGAACAGGCAGAATTCTGTCAATCTCACTTTTTTTAGTACAGTTGTGTATGTTTTTTTTTGCAAATGTGCAATGCAACACAGAAACCTACCTATTTTTTGTACAACTAATCTCGCCTTAAATTGTTGTAGCTTTAATATGAATTTTAAATAACGTATAAATCAACCCAACAATTCTCTGCTATATCAAATACTTAATAAACCCCCCCTCCCAAAAAAATGGAGCTAAAGAATAGGATACTCATATGAGTATTTTTATTCCCTTCATTATGATTAATGAGCATACTAATAGGTTAGCAGCAGTTCCTTAAACATAATACCAAGTTTGCTTTGGCTATATTGTTAATTTAAGAAAAAAAATTAACATTTGAAGAACACAGACACAAATGTTAACGTGTAAATTAACATTAAGCTATGTAAAATATATATATTATATAGAGAAATAAAAGAAAAAAAAATATACGCAATGGAAGGAGAATGGAGTAAAATTCTGGGGCCTTCCAAATAACAAGTTTGGTATAGACCTTTTAGCAGTTAAATGGCTAAATCACATGTAATGTAGCTAATATTTTTGATTGGAAAAATGAAAAAAAGTGCACAGTTCTCTATGTCTACTTGAATTATTTCTTGCTACTGCAAGTGGTTAGACTGCTACTTTGTTCTAAGAAATTTAAGGAGAAGCCTTGAAAAGATCTAAAACTGTCTACTTCATATAAAAAATAGAAATATACAGTGGAATCTGAAATCATTTCTTTAGCGTCTGTATTCTGTATACTATTTTATGCTGTATGTGTCAGTTACTGATAACACTTGTTGAAATTTGTATGTAGGGTTATGAAATGTGTATGTGAGCTTATAAAATATGTCTGTGGAAATCTAAATAGAGTTAATAGTGGACAAATTTTGAGGTATTATTGCATCATAATAACTTAGGCAACATTCTTCAAAGAACTTTGATTTGTAGATCCTAATAATCTGAGCTTACTTGGGAACATTGTGTGACAAAATGGTGAATTTTTAAGATTCCTAAATGCACAATGTTTATTTTTAGATATGTCAAGATACGGGCTGATAAATAAGTAAAAATTTAAAAAAAAATGTTATATAACCATGTAGTAAAATTTAAAAATTGTACAAATATTGGTTGTAAATGTGAATTATAATATTTGTCCAAATATAAGAACTGTGACTAACATAAATGTGGAATCCATTGTTTGAAAAGCATATGATAAATTGATAAAACAAGATCAATAGATACAAAATGCAAAAGACAACACTGGGTGATATAAACTGTTCCATAGTTAAAGCAAACTGAAAGTCAGGAAAACCTAATAACATCTGCCAAATACTCACTTGTCACCTACAACATCCCACCTAAGGGCTCAACAGACCAGTGATTTAATGTTACATTTGCTCTAATGCCATGAGTATGGGCCTTTAAATATGAAGTAGAGAGACACTGATAGACTACCTCTGCCTTAACATCCAATTAATCCTTATGTCTCCCTTTCATGCGGTTTTTTGGGTGCATTCATAGGGATGACAGAGAGGAATCACTGTCATCCTGGACATAAAAGGAATACACTGTAGGTGACAAGCAAGTATTTTGCAGGTATTTTTAGGTTTTCCTAACAGCAGGCTGTATGGAGGGCAGGTGGACTTAAAGTCATTTGTAGGTTATGCATGTATAGTAGTGCCTGATTTATGAAATCTTAAACTGAACCTGTGCAACTCAAACTGAGCATATAATGGACGAAAATACTCTTTGTCCAAATTATCAAATATACCTAGGTTTGCAGACAATGAGGTTGGCGTACTAAAGCAGAAGAGACTGTTAATTTTGTAAACTGAATGTCCACATAGTCGAGTAAATAAGGTAAAGCTGTGTTTTACTTTGAATACCTAATATTGTGGATGGGAAATTAAAATCTGATTTGATAGTTCAACTAAGGTGAAACTAAAGCAGGGTAAACATGGGCAGTTTTTTTTTTTCATTCAACCAGTGGGTTGAATGAAAAAACTGACAGATCCCCGCATCCACACAAACGATGTGGATGCAGGGATCTCCCCTGCCATGCTTTTGAATTCTGACAGCGGAGACCCCCCTGTCGAAATACACCAATCAGTGCAATTGGCTGCAAGCCCTGATCGCATGCCAGTTTTCCAGCAGGACCATTTGAAAACAGCTGGTCTAATTATCAGCTTCTGTTGAACAGTGAGTATATATGGACTGAAATATGTCCAATTCCTGCTGAACCGGTTAAATTTCGATGTGTATATACCCAGCTTAACTGAACCTTCACTGTGCATGTTGAATATCCACTTTGGACAGGCTCTGCTTCTTTAATAAACCATCTCCAATATGTAAAAGTTTACCTTTCCTGTAAAAGCAAGGTTGAACATGCCATGCCACAACCTCCTTATTGGTAGGTCATGCTATTCTTCAAATTAAAGAACCATTTAGAATGCTGAAGAACAAAGGGGCAGGGCTAAGCTTGACTGTATAGAAGTTGAGATTTCTATATATAATTTCACCTGCCAATATCTACAGATCTAGTGATCATTTTGCCATGCATTGTTTCATCAAAAGTATGTTTAGATTGAATTGCCCAGAATAGTTTACATTAAAGTGAGCCCATGCTCAGGGCAATGCACGTTATATGATTTACATATTCTGAACAAACATTAAAAGTAAAACTTTAAAACAAGTATCATTCACCTCTATAGTTATAGGCACTGTGGAGAAGGTGATCTTTAAAAGAGAAGTATGGCTTTCTGGAAAAAAAATCCTTTATGCTTACCGAGGTGGATGCAGCATCAATCCGGAGCATTGGCTCTGCAGTGAGAACTGAGTGATCAAATACTACTGATCTCTCAGTTC